TTCTTGGTCCTAACATCTTCAGATTACTTTCTTTTTAATTCTTTAACTAAATATATGGGGCTCTATTTATTACAGTGATGCTTTTAGATGTATGGCTAAAATAGTTTTGGCATCCTTTTGTATTTAAACTGTGATTCTCTGGCACATTGTTATATAAAGCTAATTTCAAAACTGTCATTTAAAGGACACTCTGAATAAGGTTATAAAAGTTTTGAGGCATATTACAAGACATACAAACTAAGGCTCTTACATTTGATCAAAAATTGCACCGCATTCAAAATATGGATCACTAAAATATTAATAATCAAATTAATTAAAATCGACTAAAGACTCTAATTAAATGGCTAGTGCCGCCCTCTACTACTCAAATTTGGAACAAGAAAGATGTAAATAAGGAAATTATGATATGAAAGGAGAAAGAAATAAAACATAGCTGTATAATTTTCAGAAAAGATAAGATTTTAAATTATTTATGTACTTAAAATTGTTTTAAAACTTTTTCGTTCATTTGAGAGAACTAAAAGATAAATATAAATAAATTCATGTAACCGTGGTGGAGTTCTGGATGTTTAGTGCTGCCATCTATTGACAGTCATTTCAACTAAATGTAATCTTTTAAGATTATGCATATATTAACGTTATGAGAAATGGTGTTAGAAACACGTTATAAGCTGAAATGAAGTTATAAATATTCAGAAAAATTATAAGTCGGATATATTCTAAATTGAATGTCCTTTATACGTACTATTAAAAATAAAATAAAAATTTACCGTATTTATTCGAAAAAAAAGCGTTCTTTTTTTGGTATACTTTTATTTGGTAAGTCTTATAATATGGTATTTAAAAAATTTAAACGATACAATGAGAAAAAGGAGTTCAATTATCTTACCAAATAAAGAAATTATACTGTTTTAAACTTCCTCTCTTAAAACTGTATTTATTTTTTTGCGACATATTTTTATTGAGAATTAGTAGGTTAGATTTTAAATGATACAATGTTACCCGCTGTGCTTCTCAAGTATGTGATATTAATAAAATACACCCTGTAGAGAGTAGATCTATTATGTATAATGGAAATCCTTCCCGGTAGGTGAATAGGATGGATCCCATATTGATGGGTCCGGTGTGGGGAGATAACGTTGTCTTTACGATACCAGTTTTTTATTATGGAACTGAGATAGACGATGAGAAATGTATGTTAAATGAATCCAATTCTTGCTTTGAGTATTGCAATACAGAATTTGATAAAATTTTCTCTTTCTGAAATGAAACCTTTTAGAAGGTGCAAAAATGCTTATATTAATTTTTGTTAAGTAAGTGATACTTAAATATGCAACCATTATCTTCTATCACAGTGAACAAGAATCTTAAATTTCTTTCAAGAAACTTTATCAGATCTCTGCAACTTCTTAATCCTCAGACATATAATAAAGACATTTTTATTTTATCACTAAAACGTTTTTGCAGTATATTAAAAGAATTATCTACCTTGCTCAATCTGCTTTGATCAGCATTTATTAATTAATTAAATGAATTATTTATTTAATCAGTTAATAACGAAAATAATTAATTAATAGTCCAATTTGAAAAAAGAAGCAGTATTTTAGAAAACACATATATTATACATATATTGTTTTTCCAAAAGAAAAGTTAAATAAAATTTAAATAATTCTCTTGCGCCATTACTGCAAGGAATTAAATTTGAATTTAACAAACATTCTCTTTTCGTAAAAAGCAAATTAAAGTTAATTAAATTTTTAATGAAATTGAATTAGAAATAAATGATTAATTATTGCTGTGAATTAATCTACAATATCATTTAAATTCTGAGAGCATATGTAAATCAAGTGCAAGTATCAAAAATCTATTAATAAATATATAATTCCAATATATATTTATTCGTAGATTTTAATTTATTTTGATAGATTTTGTTTTTCTATTCATAGATTTTGATTTTTGATTTATTTGCATAATTCGTGTCGGGGAAGTTATTTGTAGGCAAGAGTTTCTAAATTACTTCGGTTTTCTAAAATATTTGGTTTTCTACTCTTAATTGTCTTTAATTTTAATTCTGTTCTTTACTTGCTAATTTCTCTAAATTCCACTTTTTTAAATTTCTTTTTAGTAATTCACAACATTTGGTTTTACTTTTGTTTTTGAATTTTCCTTTTACCTTTGCCTACATGGATGACGAAACACGAATTGAATGATTGAAGAGTTAGTTTTGGAGGCAACTTCCCCTTGATAAGTCTATCTCCTGGCATTTTTATAAATTTTTAGGATTAAAAATTTTTAAAAATGTATTGGAATTATATATTTATTCATAGATTTTGATACTTGCACTTGATTTATATATGCTCTCAGAACTTAAATGATATTATAGATTAGTTCGCAGCAATAATTAATCATTTATTAGTAATTCAATTTCATTTAAAATTTAATTAAATTTGCTTTTTACGAATAGAGAATGTTTGTTAAATTCAAATTTATACATATATTATACATACGCTAGATTACTACATAATCTTTTTGGAAGGCATACATTTTGAGTTCAGAATCAAATTCGAATATAGTTTCATTTTATTAATTTCTTAAAAATTTCGTAAAACATCAATCGATAAGGATTATATAGTAGGCCAGTGGTCTCAAACAGGCAGCCTCCGAAGAAATTTCATGCGGCCCGCAAGTACATTTTATTTATGTATTTTTTGCAAACTCCGTTCTACAAAAATTTTAGCATTTTAATTATTAGAAGTCCGAGGTTTTATTTCGTCCATTTTCCTTAAAATAAACAGTAATATCGCACCAGAATCTCTGTAAATGGAGCTAATTAATTCACAATGGGCTATAAATCTTACTCAAAGATTTGAAGATACAGGTTTGAGTAATTTGTTTTCGTATTTGTCCAAAAAAAAAGTTACGAATTTTGCACTAAGGGTAATTGCTTTGTTTGGGAAAAATTTATATGTAAATAGCTTTTTTTCACTGTCTAAAATTAATATGAAAAGAATCAGATTGATAGATGAGAATCTACAATCCGTGATGAAGGTAATTTTTAGTAATTTCTCTCCAAGGCTAGAAACTTTATCAGAATCGAAATGCCAAAACACAAAGAAGTTTATAACTTTTTACATACAAACATATACATTTTTATTGACGCATTGAAGAAACATCTAATAAATACAAGAAAGAGGTAGACTTCTGTTCTTTATTCTCAAGTTTCGTCCCACTAGGTAAATTTTCTCTGAAAACTTAGGAATTTCTCTTAATTTGCTTATTTTCATTTATTTTAAAAATTTATTTTTAAAATAAATGAAATTGCAGATATTAAAATTTCATTTATTTTTTTTTTCTTATTTTAAAGTGAGTTGTTTAAGGATTAATTAAACATGATAGAATTATTCTAATATGTTTAATTTATCAGTGTAAGATTCTAATCTTTAGCTGTCAACATATTTAATTTACAAGGTGTTGCCAACAAAAATATCTTATAATTAGCACATTTTAAATTCCAGATAGAAAATAAATATATATCTGTTTTTTTTTTTTTTTTTTTTTCTAAATTCCTACTATTAGCTCACACTTCTTCCTATATCTTGTTCAAATTTACATTCGTTAATAAAATATTTTATATTCATCCCCTCAAGCTCAAATACATTTTTTTAAACTTGTAGTGGATGACACTTGATGCTAATACAGTTTTTTCACATATTATGTTTACATATTTTTCACATATTTTACACATGTTTTTCACAATATGAATGTGAAATCGAAGTTCATCAACGAAACAATGTTTATATGTACATCAATGATGTGTCAAGAATTATACGAGCACCATGCCATCAAGATGAGACAATTTTCCCATCAGGCAGCGCAGAAGTTCAGTGTTTAGGAATGGTGTTGGTAAACATTGTGAGAGCTTCGATTCTTCAACCGAATAGATGGACACCAACTACTCTCAGAGAAAATACGATTGAAGGCGATGATATATATCAGCAAATCGTAATAGAAAATGAGCGTAAAGGTGGTCTTGCTGTAGAAGACATTAGATGGAATATTAATGGAAGAACTGGACTGCTCGAAACTCACTGGAAAGGTTCCTTGCAATAATGAAGCATTACAAAAGATGGATAGAATGAGGAATTGTAGACCACCATCAGCTTCATAAATTAGAAACGAAAAAATTTTAATAATGTTAATAAAAAGTAACTAAAATAAAATTTTAATAATGTTAATAAAAGTAACTAAAATAAAAAGTAACTAAAATAAAATTTAATAATGTTAATAAAGTAACTAAAATAAAAAGTAACTAAAATAAATTTTAATAATGTTAATAAAGTAACTAAAATAAAAAGTAACTAAATAAAATCTCATAATGTTAATAAAAGTAACTAAAATAGTAGTAGGAATTGACTTAAAAAATTTTTTTTATATTACTTGTTTTCATTTATGATATCGTTGTTTTTTGTTTACGTTTTGATAGATATTTAGAAAGCAAAATTTAAAATTTATTTAAATGTTTTTCATTTTGTTAACAAAAAAAATTTTCATTTTGTCAAAATAAATAAATAAATAAATAATTTTGGCACGCCAGCTGTTTTTAGATCATGTTTTCAGTCAGCATGAAGTCTTAGTTTGAGACCCCAGTCCTAAATGATATTTATACCTTCGGTTATACTAAGTAAATGATAGTTATACCAGTAAATGATAGTTATACCTTCGGTTATACTAAGTGAAGAGTACAATTTTGGATCCCGTCATATCGAGAACTTATATAAAAGTCTACAAAGAAAATATAAAAGTCTTCTATGAAATTTTCGAGACTAGTTATTTTTTATTTGCACTCCTGGTTCTGTTATGATTCAATCCGACATAAATTGAACCATCAGTCTAGGTGTAGGATCAAAATTAATAAAATTCAGTCACTTCTTAGAAACATTGGATGGAGTGAGAAATGATGCAAAATACCATACCTATCTCACAGGAAATCATGTTTTTACTTAAATTAAAATATTTTTTATTTCAAATACTAAATTACCACTCATACATTTTTTTTTTTTTTTTTTTTAAGGTTCTCTTCCAAAAGTAAATTTCATGGTAAACCATTCGCTAATGATTCATTTATTGCATTATTTGCTTCTTCTAAGCTTTTTGTATTCCGAAATAACAATTTATTGTTCTTTTCTTTGTCCTCGTTTTCATGTTCTACATTCCTTGGCAATATCATAATCTTTCCTTTCTGTAGTGAACATTCCAATAATGAATTTTCTTCATCGCTCATGCAGTTGGCAGTTTTTCTTTCTGAAAGTAAGATAGGGATCTGTCTGTCTGTCCTGTCTTGTGGTTTTTTCCTAAAAATGATAAATAAGAATTATAAAAAGGACTTTTAATAGGATAAATAAGATAAAGGGTAGGTTTAATAAGATAAATAATAAAGGATAAATAAGAATTATAAAAAGGAAAAGATACTTTATGAGAGGTAGAGAAAAACTTTGCAATCATTACTGCAAAACAACAAGTAATTTATTGCTTCACATATTTTCAAGTATCATTCATCAATTAAAATTTTCAAACAATTTGTAAAAGAAAATAATCATTATTGGTATTTAGAAGTTAATTTTAAAGGTTTGATTAAAAAATGAACATTCATAAGAGTGACAACTAATACCCAATTAGCATAGTCATCTATCTAGTTTTCCTTTATTAAATTAAAAATTAATTAAATGTTTAAAAAAAAGAATGTTCTGCATCAGCTACGATATATTTTGAAAGCATGAATCATTTTTCTTCATAGTTGTAATACGTGGAACATTAGAATGATTGGATAACTATTTAGGAAACACTTGCAGAACGTGGACTTGTGAAAAGCTATTTTGCGTGAACGCGTTTTCACTTCCTTGTACGAAGTAAAAAGGAAGTATTGTAATCGCGAAAAGTTTCAGGCAGCATATTTCAACGAAAATATCCATTTTGACCGCTTTCGAAGGCAATTTAACGATTAACCCCCCCCCCCCCCCCCCCCCCCCCCCCCCCCCCCCCCCCCCCCCCCCCCCCCCCCCCCCCCCCCCCCCCCCCCCCCCCCCCCCTTCCCCCCCCCCCCCACCCCCCCCCCCCCCCCCCCCCCCCCCCCCCCCCCCCCCTGTTTTGCGTGATATCTCTACGTAAAGACAGAATAAAAGACTCTTTTTTTCCAAAAAAAAATTATAAAACTGCTTTAAAATGAATTCTGAAGAGAATTTTTCGTGGAGTCTGTATGTTCGTACGTATATACGTACGTATCTCGCATAACTCAAAAACAAGTAGCCCCAGAACGTTGAAATTTTGTATATAGGATATATGCTATAATATGTAGATGTGCACCTCGTATTTTGGTTGTGATCGGCCGCACCAAACGTATATGAATATATTTATATATTTATCCACTCTGTTACCCGGCTCAGTGATCTCAGTTTCTTTACTCTTGTATGTTTGTAAATTGTACATTTTTTGCTTTAAAAATGATTGAATTATGATGTTCTTATCTTTCGGTTGAGGTTTTTATGCCTTTAGGAAATCTGTAGGCAATATTTTTAGAATTATCAACAATTTTAACGTTGTTTAAGTGCCGCTAAGCCTAATAAATTTTTCGATGGTGGCCATTGCTTGTTTTATTTGAAACAGCAGGATAGTGGATTTGTTGCCAATATAGAGAAACTTAGCTTCGCAACAACAAAGATAACGCCTTCATTTATTATTGCGAATTAAATCATGCTTAATCCTTTCTGGAATGTTTTCGAGGGAATAAGTGTTTAAGATTTACTTCGTAATTTTTAATGTAGATATTTTGAGTTTTTATGTATTTTTGCCTTGTCGCAAAGTGAGAACTGAATTAATTGAATGAGAAATACTCAATCGTCTGTGAAAAACTGTTTCTTTTTTGTTTTGTTTGCTTAATTTCTTTTATACATCGTTGTAGCTTTATTATAGTATTTGAATACAACATGTGGCAACGATTAGATAATTCTTTAAATTAGATAATTTTGTGCATTTTAAGTTATAATATGAACTAAATATAATACTGTTAAGTGAACCTAGCACCAAGAGTGTCGCTATGGTAAACAAATAGAGTGAATTTTAAAGAATGCATTTATTCTATAGTGGTTTATGCGCTGTCGGCGAAGTAGATTTAATTTAATCCAATAAGTTTAAATGAAATGTAAGAAAAAATACGTATAATTTAATATTCCGTACAAGGAAGTCATGTGGTGTACACATCAGATTTTTTTAATTGTCTCAGTTTAATTTATCCAGCGGGAGAATTTCAGTTATACGCGGTCAGCTGCAAAGCGTCGGCCTCGTTGGTATTGACCTCTTTGCTGACTGGTTTAAGAATTCATTCACTTATTAAAGAAGTCAAATGTTACTTAAAAAAGCAAAACCCGAGGTTTAAAACTCTCCCAATTTTTGATGATCTTCCAGGGCACGGTACTGAAGCCCTCACAATTTTACATCCAAATGTAGACGTTTTATTTCTCCCATCGGACACCACTTCCTTAATCCAACCAATGGAGCAAGGAATCATAAAAGCACTCAAAGTCTATTATATCTCGATGTTTACATCCTTACAAATATAATACTAGACGAAGATAAGCAGGACACATATATGGCATTTTGGAAGCAATTCAACATAATGCACTGCACAGAAATGATTAAAATCGGATGGGAACAAGGGAATTCATCAGCAATGAATAGTACTTGCTGACTTCAGCGCTGGACAGAAGTTGTCAATAATTGTATAGGATTTCCATCGACTGAAAACGAAGCTAAGGAAATAGTGCAGATTACTGAAGCAATAAGCAGTGAAGGATTTTCAGATACGGAAGTAGGAGAAATTAGAGAATTAATCGAGAATGACGATGAATGAAATGAAGAACTGGAGGATATTAAAACGCCAGTCGATGATAAAACAACGATAGTGAAGAAGTTGAAGAGCCTTTAATAGGTGAGAAATTAAATTAATTTTGTAGAGTCATTAGGTCATTTCGATGCTCGAGACTTGAAAAATGACCCTCGCCGGGATTCGAACCTAGACTTCTCCAATACGCGGCGAGTGTGCTAGCGGTACACACCGAAGACATTTTTCAAGGAGAGAGAAAATATCTTATAAAATCCGCCTTTTAGAGGGCGATTGAGGATTAGGGGACCCAATCATCAAATCCTGGAGGTGAAGAATCATGATCCACCACATTTTATTTCGGACGCCGCTGTACAGTCATTAGGTCTTTTTTGATGTGAAAGATGTGAAAAATGAGCACTGTACTCGCCGGTATTCGAACCTGGGTCTCTCTATAAGGCGCCGAGTATGCTAACCGTTGCGCATGCAGAAAGGAGAGAGAAATTACCTTATAATTGTTAAAAAGTATAGTTTTTATAGTGGAAATTAATCGAAATGATGAAAGGAAAAGATACTTTATGAGAGGTATAGAAAAACTTTGCAATCATTACTGCTAAACGTTTTATGAGTTGCATCAGACATTTTTCCAAGCACATATCACCAGCTATTTAAAAAAATAATTGTATCTTGTACCTACTTTTTAAGCAGTAATAGAAGATTTTTAAATTAACGTTTGTTTCATTTTCCCCCTTTAATTATACTATTATTTAAGTTTTCAAAAATTACACTTACTTTCTTAAGCGGAAATTTACCTAACCAGTTTATCCCACAGAACGTTAACTTCGAGGAACGCGATTTTGCCGTATACGCCATGTGCTAATGATGTAACCTCCGTATTCGGCAAGGCTTTACTTTATATATTTTACAGTAACGGGTGGTCGAAGATCCATGCGTTTAATAAACGAACTAATAAGCGAACTCACTTCCCGAATGTATTTTTTTGAGAAAAAGCAGTACTATTGCTGTTAATTTAATTATTGGTAAACTTAAATAAACCTTGGATAGAAGTCAGTTTGAAAGAGAAATTATGTGTATTTCAAGAGAAAATTTTGTAGGACGCAGAACTTGCTTTCGGCGAAGGTAAATGGGACACTTGCGTCATTCCTTCACTTTCTGGGGGCCTTCTGATCCACATTTAGTATTTCAAATATGTGAATCCTTAAGGTTATTTTCTTTAATTCCACAAATAAATAAGTAAACATAATTGTTATTTCTCCCGCCTTTTTAGCATGCCTTCGTGGTGTAATGATCAGCACGCTCGACGCGTATTCGAGAGGTTCGTGGTTAGAATCCGGAAGAGGGCATTGCACATTTCACATCTCTTGCTTTCAAAAAAATACCTAATGTTTCTACAGTGGCGCCCTAATTAAAAATAGGTGGCGGATCACGATTATCCACCACCAAGATTTGGCGATTGTTTACCATAATCCCCAGTCGCCCTTTAAAAGGGGAGTATATAAGGTATTTTTCCCGCCTTCTCAGCCTGCCTTCGTGGCGTAATGGCCAGCACACTTGGCGTGTATTCGAGAGGTCCATGGTTCGAGTTCCGGCGAGAGCTTTGCTCAGTTTTCATCTCTCCTGCTTTAAAAAATACATAATGTCTCTACAAGCAGATAAATAAAAATAAAAGGCGAATAGTCCTTTTGCGCTTGTCATTAACCAATAACGTAATCTAAGTTTTCCTGAAAGAACAAAGATTCCGGTTTAAAGGGTATAAGAGTAGATTTTATAAAACATATAATAATGAATAAGAAGGAGTAAATGGGTTATAAATAATTAACTTAAATTAAATTTATTTAAAACAATAGTTTTTTTATGAAAGGTATGTAATCTTTATCAAGCAGTTCAAGTTCATCGTATTACCTGTTAAATGAAAAGAACTTCTGATCCTTTCCAAATTCTTTGGCATCATTTATCGTCTGAGGCAAATTTTTATTCAGAGTCTCTGGGAGAAAAGCAGATAAAACCCCTGCCAATAAACAGCAGATTCCGATCGTCAAGAATGGAATGGATTTCCCGTAGACACCCTAAAAAGCAAATTTGATTTATATTTTCAAAATTATGCATAGAATAAATGAAAGAATTCATAGAAGGAAAATCAAATTTTTAGACAATAAATTTTAGTTCTAAATTTTATTTTTCCAAAAAAGGCTTTAAAATTTTTTTTTGAATTTTCTCCAACGTATTTCATGGATAGTTTAAAAATTCAATCAAAATTCAATCTGATTTTAGAGTGCAGATTAAAAAAAACTAAAGAAATTTTAACGTAAGCAGCTAAGTTAAGTTTACGAGTTTAACAGGCCCACCAGCGGCCGAGCGGTAAAGTCGCTGAACACTGGTAGTTCGGTCCGAGGTTCGAATCCCGCGGACGGGCTGGCTGCATGGGCATTTTCGTGGTTTTTCCCATGATTAACGTGTGTACGAGCTAGTTTAACTTAGAAAGTCCTCCACGAAGGCATCCCTACCCTTAGGCGAGATAGCCCTCGAAGCTTTGCCATAATCACACACACACGCATAAGAGTTTAACAATTAAACCTCCAGAATGAAAGCTATAAATTATATTTAAAACGAGTTTTTCCAAATTACAAAGGGAAAGAGAAGGGAAAAATTTCTACACTGTTGCTTCACTGTAAATAAACTCAGCTTGGAGATTGTGCGTTTATTTAAAGACTTAATTGTTCAAGATTCAACTGTGCAATTTATTTCACTGAATAGCTTCGGCACAAGGTCCTCAATGGCAAACTTAAGGCAATTAATCGTAGCTTGCAAACATAATGTTCACTAAAGTAGCAAACTTTTTATTTTTCTATGAAACAAATTCCTGGAACTGAAAACAGTGAATACCTTGAAAAGGTTTTCTTCAAGGTGTCTAGAAAGTTCATGAAATTATTTTGTATAGCAGTTCCTTGAACATGAATGTAATTTCAAATGCCCCGCAAAGACGGAAAGTTTAAGAAAGCTGTTATAAACAATTTGGAATTCATTACCTTCTTCTTCTTAGTAGGCATCTATGAATCAGCAGCGGAATCAATAAATAAATAAACACTTAATTCTACTGCGATAATCCTTGAGACGAAAAAACAAAGCATAAATGTTTCCGTTTTTCTTACAACCGATAATTAATTGAGATTACTAAGCGTCCTGATTAATCAAACCAGTTCAGCTTCCATTTTCTTATCACTTTGTAAGAAATCGTTTGCTGTCGGACATACGATGTTTATCTATTTTCAATTAAAAAAAAAACTAAGACACTGATTAATATGGAAGTTGAATTCATTCTAATATTAAAAGTTTAATATATAATAATTATAAAATAATTATAAAAAAATTATTAATTAATCAATCAATTAATTATCAACTAATTTTTGTTCAGGAAATATATTTATTAAAACGTTATGACTGGTGTTATGGGAAAAGGCTATAGTGTACATGAAACATGAATTAGAATAGATAGGTTATTTTTTATAATTACGTTCGACAGAACAAAAGAGAAAGCTGTTATTTGATATAATAACAGAAGCAACTGAAAACTCTTAGAATTTTAAATGAAAGATAAAAAATAAGAGCATCACGTTTGGTGTTTCACTCGTCGCTAGTGCTACGTCCGCCAAACCAGGATAGTGTGAAGTGATTCTGATTACCATATCGAAGAGCCCGCATTCGAATACCGAAGATGACATAGATATTTGTAAATGTGTAGTGTCGGGGCGGTATAGGGCACTCAAAACCTGCGGCGAGCCGTAAGTCGTTTGGAGAGGTTGGTGGTAGGGAAAGAGGGATGGGACTGTCATCTCAATGGTGACAGGGTCAATCTTGACTCCTTGTCACGACGAATTTCGTGGTATTGCTCTGATTTAAGACAAGCGGGAGTAGTCATAATAACGGAAACAACATTAGTGTAGATATATGATTTATTATCCCTTAGATCAGTATTTCATATAAGCTGGAAATTACTTCATAAACGTAAAACATAGGAAAATCATTTGCCATTAAACAGTAACTAAAAACATTCTTCAATACTTATTATTGTCATTTTTCTTATAGTAATTTAATTAAATGCTTGGCCAGAAACTGTTATTTTCTTGTCTTATTCGTATTTCGTATTTAAATATATAATTTATTCTTTATTGCAGATATAACTGATAATTTATAATACGGCATCGATAATCGGAATTGAGCGGGACTAAGATAGAGCCGGATAATCAATTTTCATGATTAAAAAAAAAATAACAACTTTAAGTAAAATGCCGAATTTAAATGAGCAGAAATTTGTTTTCACCATCAAATTTTTATGTTGGTAATCAACATTGTTTTCCTCTATTGTTTCCAACAACAGCAAGAAAAACAGTACCATGTAAAAAATGCATACAGTTATTGAATACCCACAATAATAATCAGTGAGCAAGCCACAATAATAACAGCAATCCACAATAATAATCAGTGATACAATTATAATAATCAGTGAGCACATTGACTTTTGAATTATTTTGAAGTAATGAGTAACTGCTTCTTTAATAATTTACTTTATGCAATGATAGTTCGTTTACATGTAGATACCATAATCAGAAAAGAATGCTCACCAAATAGGACGTGACTTTGCAACATAAAACCTTTAAAATATGATTGAGCTTAAATTTATTCAAGCTGAAAATCTCTTCGAGAGGAAAGGAAACTCTTTTTATCAGGGATACATGGTTTCCCTTCTTCATGGTTATGCTTGATAAAAATGAGAAGGGTGCTGGCCAAAGCTGTACTGTCACATGTAAGGTGCCAAAGGTGACTTTTCAAAGGCAGACCTTCCCTTCCCCTATAACAGTGATCAGGAGAGGTGTTACAAAAGATTTAAAAGCTAACTTAACGTTATAAACGATAGGATCATTTCAAATTTATTAGGGGGACTGGAAAGTAATGTCGCTTTCTTACATTAAATTCAAACGAATAAATTTGTGACAAATTCTTTTTTTAATCAATAATAAATCCCCTCGTCATCAGCACCTTTGCATCTAGTATCCGATTCACTCCAGACCTATAAAATCATTTTTTTTGATAAAATCTCTCGAGATGGATTTTGGACATCATCAATTTCAAATTTTTGCACTAAGAAATTTTAGAATCGGAAAATGGAAATCCGAGGGTGCGATATCGGCGAATATGTGGTAGGCCGTACCTCCACCCTTCATTATAGTTTTCAGTTCGTCTTGCACATGCGGTTGCATTGTCGTTTGCAGATGACCCTTTTCCGTTACAATCGAAAGATATTTTTCGATTAAATTGGTCATCGATCCAATTGTTCCAATAACGTCTCATAACAGTTTTTCCAGGTTCAAAAGAACATCCTACTCTTCAAACACCAGAAGGCCCTTTTCGGATGTAAACCCTTGTACCCTATTAAACTGCCTTTGAGTTTGGAAGCAATAGACTTTTTTTTTTTTTTTGTCTCCAGAATCAAACGATCAAAAAGCGTTCTGTTTGTGCCGTGAAGCAATACGTTGCATGTATGGATGATTGGCTTTGTTCTTTTCGGACAGATTATGGGGGACTAAACTTGCTTTGCTTCTTTTTCCATTCTGTTTTAAATGTTCTGGATGGTCGACCAGGTTGGTTAGAGTGTTGACTGATTTGCTTCCACTTCTGCCCTAGCATGTTTTTGTCGACATGCGCATAACACATTACTTTCTGCTGTTTCCCTAAATCGGTATATTATATCCCCGGTACATACTTCCCTTTCCCAATACATCGGTGCCCCCAGCGCCGAGCGGTAAATCGCGAACGGTATTCGGTCCGAGGTTCGAATCCCACGAACGGCTGCTGCATGAGTGTTTTCGTGGTTTTCCCATGGTAACGTGTATCTAGGCCAGTTTCCTAGAAAGTCCTCACGAAGCATCCCTCCCCTTAGGCAGATAGCCTAGTGTGCTTTGCATATTAAATACCAACCCCAATACATCTGTATTTATTTCATCTCTTGGGTACTGGTTGCATTGCCAAGAAAATCTGCCAGTCTCGTAGTCGGAAGGTAATTCATTAATAAATTAATTTAAATGAAAATTAAGAATTGTTAGGGAAACCAAAAATAAGACCCTATCACTAAAGACAAATTAATAAATAATCATTATCGACTATCTTAGAATGAATCGAAGTACGTAGGTATTCATTCTTATCGTAGTATATTTAACATGAAGCAAATTTAGAAAAAAAAAAAATGTTTGAAAATAACACCAACCTCCTATAAATTTTTAAACAGTTTTGAGACACTTATCATAAATTTGAGACCCATATTTTAAGAAAGTTCACGTAGTTACTATTAGGAAAATCGTTTCATTTAAAAAAATATATATTCGTTAATAAAGCACAATCGCAGTTAAAATGATAAAAAATTCATTCTGTATTTTAAAATAAATCGTTGAGTCTGTTGCTCAAAATTTCGTTAAAGTTTTACAAAATGTGAAATCGATAACAAATTCAAATTCAATTCAAATTTGCCTTCCATATTTTCAGTAGGATTGTTATTCAAAATTCGATGGCTCTATGTACCGTTGTTTTATATCACATCCGAGAAATATAAGACTTTAGCAGATTTTCATTTAATTCTTCAAATATTCGGACTCTAAGATTGGTGGCAACAGTTTGAAAGCGAAACGGACATTATAGTGATTCAAGCAAAATCGCAAACGAACAATAGTTCTCAGGGACAAACCTTTTTGACAATAACAGATTATTGAAATATAATTTATTATATTGTTTCATAAGAATAATTGAGTTTAATTAAAAAATAAATTTAAATACATATTTAATTAAATTCTTTCGCCATTGCGCAAGGAATGAAATTTAAATTTAAACAAATTTAAATTCTTAACAAATACGTATAAAAGTAAAAAGTAAAGCAAATTTAAATTCTAAAAAAAGCCAAAAAATTTAAAATAATTTAAAAATATGCAACTTAAAAGATTTAATTCTCGAACTAATCTACAATATCATTTAAATTCAGAGATAAGCAAATCAAGTGCAAATCCTCCATGAAAACATTCTACCAATTTAATAAATTAATTAATGAAAATTAATTAACAATTTTTTAAAAAATGCATATGTAAGACCGTAAGTAGGCAGGAGACAGACTATCAAGGGAAGTTGCCTCCAAAACCTAAACTCTCCAATCATTCATTCGTGTTTCGTCACTCATGCAGCAAGGTAAAAGTCAAAACCAAAAGTAATTCCAATAAGTGGTACCCTTAGAATTTAACATTTAAGTATTAATTTAAGAATTAAAGTTCAAAAGGAAAATACTAATTAGTCTTTGAGAAACAAGCAAGTAAAGTCAAGAATTAAACTTTTCTTAAAAAATTAAATTTTAAAATTAATTTTTATAAAATAATAAAAAAATCTAGAAACCAATGTATTTTAGAAATCTTGTCTACAGAAACTTCCCCTACACGAATATGCAAATAAAAAGAAACTTAAAAGAACTTTACATAATTCATATAAACCAAAGAAAAAAAAACAAAATGAAAACAAAGAACTAATTCACAATTTTTAAAATAATTATATATTAAAATATAATTTCATATTAAAAATACTTGATACTAACATAAAAAATTTTAAAAAGAATACTTAAAGCAAGTAAATAGTAATTTTAATTCTACTTCCTACTATATCAGTGTGGGGTCTGCAAAAGTGTTGAAAGAAGTAGTATGTTCTTCAAATTATATAGATGGCGCTTATGTAGGTAAAGTTGAGTGTCAAGCTGCTATCTTTGTTATAGTAAATTTTTTTTTGTAAATATTAATATTAATTAAATAAATAAATTAAATCCTAAGGTAGTAATATCATTATTTAGGGATTAAGTAACTGAGCCAATCAAGAATGTATTTTGCTGAAGAAATTAAAATGAAGTGTTGTGAAAAAAATGTACTGTTGTAATTGAAAGTGTGTTCTGTTGAAAAATTGTGAAATTGTTAAAAATTAAGTGAAAAATATTTTTGTGGAAAAGCAAAAATTAAAGTATTAAGAAACTGAAATTTTTAATATTAAAGTTTTAAAGTAAATTTCCCAAAATTTTTTGAAATGAATCCTTAAAAAACCTCTAAAAATTCTTTAGGAATTAAATAAAACTTAAATTTGATGAAAGAAATATTAAAGTTTAATGAACTTGATTTAATTGGTATATCAAACTTAACTAAATACTGCTAAAGTATGGAATTAGAAAAAGATAAAATTTCACTCAATTCGGCTATAACTGAGCTTTTGAAAAGAGTTGTCCCTTTATTAGTAAAGGAACATCCTTATTGATTAATTGATTAAATATACATATTTACAAAATATTTACAATAAAATTTACAATAATTTCTCTACTCTTTTATATCCTTCATTACCTCCAGTTAAGGTTTAAGGTAAACGTTATCATATCAAAAGAGCCAAAAAATTATAAAGTAAAGTCAAGGCCTGCCTTTTTAATATATAAATTAATAATTTTGGGTACTTGGTTATCAACTTGTACATTAATAGTTTTATGATTCTTCCTTTAAATCGTCATTTCAGTACATATATTTTTTATTCTGATAATTGGCTATGAACGTGTTTTCTATTACTTTTCTAAGATATTAGAGTTCCAATTAATTTTAATATAGGAAAATGGAAATCCTTTTTTATCAATAATTTAATTTTGTTGTGTTTATAATTTGCAGGTCTAGGAATTCATAGTATCTTCATTCGTATTCGTTTTATTAGTGTTAACTATTTGGGTAAATTTTGAATTCTCAAAAGTAGAATTATTATGAAAGTTATAATATCATCTATGTATCTAAAAGTATGAGCAAATAGCTTTAATTCATTTTATTTAACTGAGTTGGAATTTATATTCAATGTAAAAAAAATAGGTTACAATTTGTGTAGAACTGTTGCTCCCATAGGACCTCTACTAGCTGAACGATCTATTATTGTATTAATGTAGTTATTAAATAATGCACAATTCAGATAAATATTCCATCTTTCAATACAAGGATGTCAAGTATGTCAGGAAATGTTGTGGGTTGTTAACTTTTAAAACTGCTGAGAACGGAGCTTATTATAAATAATCCAACTATAATTGTATTGTTTGTTAACGAGATTGGATAAATTACAGATTTTTTAAGTATAATTGCAAATATGTAATCTATATTCTTTTTATAATTATTTGTACCATTAGCAATAAATCTAAATTTGAGTGGTGATTTATGAAATTTGGAGAGCATATAGATTTGCTAATCTATTGTAGTTAGATGTTGTGAAATTTGCAGTTTCTTATGAAATGCTTTGCTTGTTTGTAAAACATTTTCTTGTAGATTGTGAGTTTGTAAGTAATGGCATATTGAGTCAGTATTAATTAATGAGACATAAAAAAATTTCATATTATGCTAAAGTTATTATTGGCTTGTCAATTTTGGTAATTATGAAATTTTGTTTTAAATCCTGTAAAAGAGGTATGAGAATATTCCACTGTAAATGGCTATTAAATTCAATTCTTCGAATTTTTCTTGAATTCTTCTAATACTGCATGTTTCCATGCCATAAAGGTAGAATTTGGAATATTTATTTGAACTAGTTTTAACTATAAATTTGTCTATATTTTTTACGAAACTTTTAAAACTGTGATGTTTGTTAATTTTTAGTACTGGTCTAAATTTGGTATCCTTTTTCCATTAAAATTCTTAAATGTTGGTTTTGAACTATTGCTAAATTGCCTGTTATAATATGTTGATGAATTTATCTATGAAATCTTTGTATTGAAGCTCTTTACAGTATCAATGGGCTGTAGTAGCTAATTCATGGTGGTTAATTAGCAATTTACTAAAGAGGTTTTTTGATACTTGAAAGCTGGTGAGATCTGTACTTTGGTAGCTGGAAAAAGTTGTTGACTTTTTCTGAAAATTTTGCTAACTGAATATGATCATAGTTAGGATGAAGGAAATGATTTTGCAGTAATATTTTTGTATTTGTTATTTGTAGAGAACTTATAATTGCAAAAGTCAATAACAAGGTCTTTGATAATATTGTGCCCTGTAAAATGCTGTTTTATAAATTTTATTAGTAATTTTAAGAAATTGTGCTTACAAGTATGCAACCAAGTAATTATATTTTTTGGTTAACTGTTCCTTGTTGTACAGGATACCAGCTTGGTGATGCTTCATTACTATTATGATTTGAATTCTAAATTGTTCCAAAATGTTAATTCCCAACCAGAATGGCAGTTAAAAAAGAGATGAATGCCAGATGAGCAAACGTAAGGACCGTTGATAAATTTTGGTCGAAACTAAGTAATTTTAAGGACCAAAATTTATTTCAAGGACGTTTAAGGACCGCACGAATTTTGTTACAAAGCTCGTGTAAACGATCATAAATGTAATCAATATTCGAATAATCGAGAAGTTGTACTGTGTAGCCTTGTTACTTATTTAGACAATTAGTTTGAAGCCACATTTGCCATTCGCCAGAAGCTCCACTGTATCATATAAAAGTCTTTAAATTTGCTTTTGCTATTGTTGCTAATTTTCCTGATCTTAAGCGGATCATGTCCACGAAATTCATTGTAGCCTACAGAAAGAAAATGGCGCATGTCTTTAAGCAAGGACTTAGGCAGCATATGGGTAAATGTATGACTTTTGTTCACCTCCATGGCAATTTTGATCGAAAACACTCCAAGAGATAAAAGCCAAGCGTTCTGCAACCCTCTTTCGCGACCACCAGCCTCTTGAGGAAATTTTCAGTTTGACAGCGGTCGTGACGACTTTCAGGACTTTTAGTTTCCCTAGTCAGTAAATTAGTATACATTTAAAAATATACAGGGTTAGAATCTGAGTTCAAAGATGCGGCAGCTAACTCCGTTAACCAGCAAATTGAACAGGACGGCATTCTTTAAATGTTACCAACAGCATATTTGAGATGTAAAATTAGCAGATAAACGCTTCTCAGTCCACTAACAAGAGTTTGGGAGAGACAGAACTTGGTTGGTTATCAGATACTGTTGTTAATATTATAATAGTGAGTTACTTTCTCTCAATCCGCTTTCGTAAATCCATTTGTATACCAAAATTGTAACAAGGACTTAAATTAAATTTTACATTAAAACTAAATACACGAGAGCTGCTTCTATGCTTTGTCCTATTCTGTAACTGACTACACGCAAAAAACAGAATTTTACAGTATTTTACATTTTTCTCCTAGCAACAGCTTTTCGGAAAAAGGCAAATGATTTTAAGTCCCTTATCTTTATACTGTAGTCACAAACATCGATGAACCGAATGTTTGAACCTAATCCCACCGAAACATTGGTGATTCTGTGTACCTCCATTTTAACCGAGGCAACCAAAGAATTAATAAAATGAAAATAAAATGAAATTTTTATGTACAATTACTTAATATTATCATCCATATTTGAAACAAATTATGCATTTCTAAGAATCTAAAAGGAATTTAAGTTACAATCTAATCTACGGACAATTTAAATTTTTATTATATTTCAAACAAAAGAGCTTTCTATTGAAAGTAAATTCTTTTTAGCAAATACTTACAAGATATACAATGTAGGGTATACAAAGCGTGATTATGGTTGCCACCATGCTGCACATACTCAATCCTAAGCATCTGACTACCGTTGGGAAAAGCTCTGAACTTCTTTGGTAGGTCGCCATGGAGGTAATGGCTGATAGGAATTTGCCTATTATGGAAATTGCCACATCACTGTAAGGATATTCTAGAAAGATATTGAACTTTCATGAAACATCATAGATTTCAAATATATTAAAAGTATCAAATGGAAAATGGATTTCAAAATTCATTAAAGTTAATGGATGATCAAAAGAATTCTACACAATCTGAAACACAAACCAAGTCAATTAAATATGCTATGTTTCTGAATAATCCATAGAAAGAGGAAAGAATAATATCACAAACCTATCATTTGTATAAATTACCCCAAAATGCAACAAATTCTACTTGAGGTTCTAGTCAAAAATTGTACCTACTTTTCTTCTTATTCTACTAAGATGAAATGCGTGTACAATTTTTTACTTCTTTGTACGAAGTAAAAATGAAGTATTGTAATCGCGAAAAGTTTCAGGCAGCATATTTCAACGAAAATATCCATTTTGACCGCTATCGAATGAAATTTAACGATGTTTTTGCGTCATGTCTGTACGTAAGGACACAATAAAATACTCTTTTCCTTGAAAAAAATTATAAAACTGCTTTAAAATTAATTCTGAAGAGAATTTTTCGTGGCGTCTGTACGAACGTATGTACGTACGTGCGTATGTACGTATCTCGCATAACTCGAAAACGAGTAGCCTCAGAACGTTGAAATTTTGTATATAGGACTGCTATAACATGTAGATGTGCACCTCGTATTTGTTGCACTCGGCCGCACCAAACGTATATAAATATATTATATATATCCACTCTGTTACCGGCTCAGTGATCTCAGTTTTTTTACTCTTATATGTTTGTAAATTGTAAATTTTTGCTTTAAAAATGATTGAATTATGTTGTTTTTAACTTCTGGTTAAGGATTTTATGCCTTTAGTAAATCTGTGTGCAATATTTTTAGAATTATCAGCAATTTTAAAGTTGTTTAATTGCCGATAAGCCTGTTTTTAATGGCGGCCATTGATGTTTACATTTGAAACAGGAGAGTAGTGGATTTGTTCCCAATCTAGAGAAACTTAGCTTCGCAACAACAAAGATAACGCATTCATTTTTTATTGCCATAGATATTTTGAGCTTTTATGTATTTTTGCCTTCTCGCGAAGTGAGAACTGAATTAATTGAATGAGAAACACTCAATCGTCTGTGAAAAACTGTTTCTTTTTTGTTTTATTTGCTTAATTTCTTTCATGCATCGTTCTAGCTTTATTATAGTATTTGAACAGAACATGTGGCAACGATTAGATAATTCTATTCTTTAAATGATATAAATTTTGTGCATTATGACTTATAATACGAACGAAATATATACGTTAACTGTTCTATAATTATTGGATTATAGAACAGTTAACTTAGTTTCCGTTGTATAATTATTATATAAGTTAACTGTTATATAATTATTAATACTGTTAAGTGAATCTAGCGCCAGAGTGTCGCTATGGTAAACAAATACTAGAGTGAATTTTAAAGAATGCATTTATTCTATTGTGGTTTATGCGCTGTCGGCGAAGTAGATTCAATTCAATCCAATAAGTTTAAATAAAATGCTGGAAAAAATGCGTATAATTTAATATTCCAATACAAGGAAGTCATGTGGTGTACACATCAGATTTTTTTATTTTGAATGCAAGAGAACTTAATACGCTAACTGGACAGTCAAAGCCATTCCTTTCTTCAGAGCTTTTGGATGCTTTTATCCTAATCACAAAGTTGGATGAAAAGGAATGGCAGACAATGCGTAGAAAAATCTGAAAAGATTTCATCATCATAAGCGCAGGTTCTTCAGTATGGAATGTTTGCTATATCTACTACCTTCTATCAAATCACTGAAAGGCGTCGTACATCATCAGTCCCTCCTTTTCTGTTGAAGTCCATAAGACTCTGCCCCATAGAGAAAAACCTTCTCTCTTAAGTTACAATAGCTCCTTCGTAATGCCTGTTTCATTTCGAAGATTAAACGATTAAAATCATTTTGTGCCAAAGATGTCATTGTCATAAGGACTTCTGTTAAGAAAATATGGCATGTGATCCTATACCTCATACCACCATAAGACAATGGCCGACTTTTGGTCAATTTCAGGTAAATTATGAGGGATACCAGGGATGTGTTATGGGCTCACTCGAAATGCCTTCTCATACTAACTAATCCTAAAAAAAGTGCAAGCTTTAAAAGTTTACACAGAAAGGTTGAGGTGATGAGCAACTGAAGATTTCGAAAGAAGTGGTCTAGTCAGGAGGATGGGCTGCTGACCACAAACAAACAAACCATAATATATTAATAATTAATACGTTTTCATGACAGTATTCGATTATGATACTGCATGCTGTCATGCAGGATTATGCTATGAGTCATCAACAAGTATCGTCACTTTCTCCTTCATACTGGATATAGAAGCTGTCGTAGCTGAAGAATCCCATCATCCTCTATAATTATGTGCGGAGTCATAATGTTAGCTCTCCTCGTATATCTCCTTCGACTGTGGAAATTGGAGTTATTGAAACATATGTTATACTAACCTGATGTGACTTTAAGTGACTGTGATCGTTTTGTCGAAATGAAAGAATCTCCGTGAGAGATTTATGATAAAATTAGAGAAGATGTCATTCATGTAGTCAATTAAAACTAAGGAATGTAGTACCATGTAGTCAGTCCGAGCTGTCGCTATGAGACATCAGTAGAAATGGGCATACTGATGATGTATGATCCCTTCCAGTAATTTGAAACAAGTGGTAGATATAGGGGTATTTTAAGTGGTTGTAATATTTTCAGACAACCAATATGTTATCGCTACTTTTCACCTAAAAAGACTGAAAAATCGACAGGGCTCTTACTGACTTATAATCACTTCACTACGACAGCTGTCAAATTTATCTTTCGAGAAATTATTGAAATTTTAGGGGAAAGCATAACATATTAACGTGAAAATACTTTGCTTCCGGTTATAGTTTTAATGCATTGACATCTGCTGCCAGAGTTCTGGAATTCACACAATTAAGTCTGTCACTGATTAATCTCTTTTTGCACTATCTGAAATTGTCTGAAACAAACTGGATGATTAATTCAGGTGAAGCATTTGATGGATAAGGGCGCATTTAGAGATCAAAGAGGCTGAAATTTATTCGCTATTATGCCCTTTTCCTCATTACATAGTTTCATTCAAATGCAGTTCTTCATGAGTTTATAACATTATTACACTGTGATACTTCTACACTGACGGAAAAACTCCCAACGCGAAGAACATGTTGTGCTAGAAAAATGGAGTTTGATAGGCATATTTATACATCTGAAAGATGACGTCTATTCAAATATCGCACTAGGTACATAAGTGTGACGCTTATAGCGCCACTATGAATTTGCAAATCAGTTTTGTTTTAAATATGTGCCCTCTAAATGCTTTAAATATGTGCCCTGTAAACTTCTTGAGCTTTATTTATTGTTGAGATTTCACATAATGAGTTGATGTTAGGCAAGAATACCTTTAAGAAGCCAAAGAAGTCGCTATCAATATCTCAGTGAATTTGAACGATGTCTTCTATAATAGGGCTACGAGAAGGTAGATTTTCTTTTCGCGATATTGCAGAATGACTTAGCAGTAATGTATTCACTGTGCATGATTGTTGACAGCAGTAATCAAGAGAAGATACTGGCTCAAGAAGACCAGGCTCCGAGCCGCCACGTGGCACTACCGAGAACAAAGACCTCCGTTTTCGCGTATGGCTGTAGCGCATCGTTCTGCATCTGCAGCAGAAATTTGAGCTGCAGTTGGCACCACAGTAACATAGCGAACTATTAGAAATCTGTTACTTGGAGGACAACTCTGAGCCCGACTCCTTGTATCAAGCATTTTACTGACTCCAAAGAGGTCATCGAAGGACAGAATGGAGATCTGTTGCGTTTTGTGATGAAAACCGGTTCTGGCTTGGTGTCAGTGATGGCCGTTTTCTGTTCAAAAAGGAGACCAAACGAGGGCCTGTAACCAATCGGGTTTTGCGCCTAGACATACTAGACCTACACTAGAAGTTATGATCTGGGGAGCAATTTCGTATGACTGCAAGAGCACTCTCAAGGTTATCTTGCGCTCCCTGATTGCAATTTGTACGTCACTCTGGTGGTTCAACCTGTTCTGCTACCATTCATGAACAGCATTCAAGTGGGTGTTTTCCAACAGGATAAAATTCGCAAGCTGTTGTAACCCAACATGCTTTACAGAGTATGGGACATCACTGGACGTAAAGGACACACATGGGACGTATGGGTCACTTATGGGACATCATTTGGACGACAACTCCAGTTTCATTCACAACCACCATTAAACGCACCTGTATTGACCGACGAAGTGCAACAGTTATGAGACTCCATCCCACAAACTGGCATCCGGCACCTGTACGACACAATGCATGCATGTTTGCATGCTTATAATCAAAATTCTGGCAGTTACACTAATTATTAATACACTAGCTTTCAAATTTTAAATGTATCTTCTCTTGAATTAATCTGCAAACGTGAAAATTTAATCATTTAAATATGTTACTTATACAAATGTATTGCCGAAATTTCATTACTCTGCAATATTTTTTTTCTTTCTCTTCAGTGTACTTCATCTACAAGGTTCTGAATTACCGTCTAAGTTTCAAATTGGAATATTTAAGTCAGCTGGGCTGTAGATTGTTACTTTACTTCCTATTCTTACTTATTCATTTGACATACGTACATGAAAATGTAGGGGCATTCGAATCCTCGAATGCCATGAAATTTAAGGAACATTTGTTTCGTGAAACGAGCATTTGAATTCTTCGAATCCTAATCTTTAAAAAGTCTATTGATTTAATTTAAAGCTTTTAAAGATTAGTTTTATGAAGGTCGAAAAAAATTGTTCATTAAAAAAGTGTTAACCCTTTTTCCTCTTCGCTTGATTTGCTTGACAAGAAAAAAAAAGGCTGGGGGGGGTATATATAAAAATTTAACTCGAAAAACTGAAGCTTAACATTCGAGGGTTACTAAAGTTCTAATACATTTTTACTAACTTACATTCTTATCGTCTTAATATTATTGCACTTTCTTTTTAAATAGTGTTTTAAAACGGGTTTATATTACAAGCAGCATTGAAACATTGTTTTAACTAAAAACGTTTATGATTACTTCCTCCTTTTTAAGATTATGTATGTGAATGATTCGAGAAGCTCGTGGTGCAAACGACCAGAGCATTTTGAGAATTTTTTATGGTTCGAATTCAAGAAAATATCGATACGTTTAAAGAAAATTCATCACAATTTCTATTCAGAATAAACATACGCACTCCCCCCCCAAAAAAAAAATCAAGAAAACAGAAAACCAGAAGGGCAATTTCATATTGGAAGAAAAGGAGGAAAACATGTCAAATCAAGCCATGAAGTAAAAAAAAATTACATTTTCCGCTGAATCGAAAGAAGTGCAGGCGATGCAGCGAAAGATGCAAATTTCATATTCCATTCTTAACATTGATTTGTTTCCAATCTTTTTCTTGCGGTTTGCCGATGTACACATCTGCTTTTGCTTTTTGCTTTTTGCATATATTTATTCCGAATTAAAACGTGGGATGAATTTTATACGTATTATTTGTTTTAATTTATTTTGTATTACTACCACTACCACTTCCTAACTTGGTGTAGGTTTTGAACGACTTTTTACTTTGTACTTATTCCTTTTACATACAGATACAGATATATTCATATACTAAATTACGCTTATATCTTAATGAATCTAACTACGTTTATTTTGTTATTAGCCTTTGTACCATAATAAATATGACTGCATTACTAAAAAATCTGATGTGCAGAGCACAAGACACATTTTGCTGCAAATTCTGGACACTTTTTGCTGCACTTCATTTCAATTTATTTCCTCGAATTCCGTTAAATATATGCTTCTCATTCAATCAATTCAGTTCTCACTTCACAGCAAGGCAAATATCCATAAAAACAAAAAAACACGAAAAAAAGTTAAAAACAGTTAAAAAAAACAGTTTTTACAGTTAAAATTATAGTTTATATGCGAAGAACAAGCAATTCAGCCTACGGGCAGAAAGACAAAATTTATCTGCAACAAAGTGAGTTAACGTTTGGTCCCACTGGGCAAAAAAGACATGGAATTTTGATGTATCAACTTGACTTAATTCCCTATACTACTAAGAAATTCGCGCCACGTTAGGCTAAGCTGTACTTACACTTTTAAATTGTTGATGGTTCTACAACTATTGCATGCAGCTTAACTAAAGGGATAAAAACCTTACCCGCAACATAACAACATGATTCAATCACGTTGTGAAGTTTACTTAATTTACATAGCAGTTATTTCATGTCTAGAATCTTACTGTTACTTCTGTCTTTTCGTTTATGAAAATTAGCTCTCGTATACTTAAGTGAGGTTTTGAGATTGTTAAGTCAGAGTGTGTTCGGAAGTCTGAAAACCACGTTATTAGTTTTACTATTCTAGATAAGAGTTTCTAGAAAAGTTTCTATAATAGAGTTTCTAGGGTTATGGAGCAATAACCAGAGACTCAAACGTGGTAGTCCCTTTGAACAGGTTATTTCTGACCGGCTTATCGCCATTTCTAAAGAACATCACAGCTTATCTCAGATTATTCACCCCTCTGAAGGTCTCGATGGGGTTTACTTTCATGTTAACCTTTCTATCTAGGTTAGCAAACAGGTGGAATAGCCGCGCTACTTGAAACAGTTAGCACTTGAAATAATTAATAATGTATGCCCCTATGGAAGCTGTTCACATGTATACGGACGGCAGTAAACTTGTTAATAAGAGTTCTGGCAGTGGCATTTACATTAGATTTAGGGATCAAGAAATAAAAATTCAAAGAAGAAATCCAGACTTCTGCTCGGTATTTCAAAGCCAGTTTATTGCAATTCTGGCGGGTCTGGACTCCATCATGAGGCTTCCTCAGTCAAAAGATATCTGGATATTTTCAGATAGTAAACGTGCCATCCAGCACTTGGCTGATTGGCATAAAAGGAGGGATATTACAAGTGCAGACATCCTCAGGAAACTAAAACAACTTTCCCTTTCTCATCGGAATCACTTTCAGTGGATTCCGTCCCATGTAAACGTCGCTGCAAATGAAATTGCGGACCGCTTGGCTAGAGCTGGTGCTAGCGTGACTGCAACACCTGCCGCGCCTCTTACTTATATGGAGCTATTTTCTAAATGTAAGGCAAAGAATAAGGCCGTTTGGATGGTCCCAGCAGTGCATCCATGGTACCAGTGTAAGTGCCCTGGCGGCTCCTTGGTTCAGAGCAGCAATAGACAAGATCAAATTGCACTTACTAGATTCCTTAGTGGCCATGTGTTATCAATGACTTTTGTCGGTGGTAATAAACTCTTCGAAATATGCACTAAGTGTTCCTCCGCACAGGCCTCTCCTGACCACATCATATCTTGTCTGAGGCTTACCAAGCAGGATGTGGTTCAAGATCTCCTTTTTGTACTGGACTCTTTCAGGGCGAATGAGCTCATGGACCTGATCTAGCTCTGCTGGTCACGGGGATGAGAAACAGCACAGCAAACAACAGAGTTTCTATGTTCTGCGTTGCTGCTTGGCGATAGTTAAATTCACACCGATGAATTCCGAGCCAAACTCGTTATTAAAATGCTGTATGTAGCCTTTGGCTGTTAGCTATTTTAATTTAGTTCTATATTTTAGTTTCTACCTTGAGTTCTCTCCATAAAGGCTGGCGGATTTGTAAGCACTAGGTGTGCCTTTTGTTCATCTATTTTTAGTTTAAAATAAAGGTGTCTTTTACAGCCTTCTTAACTTTTTGTACTTTAGACATAGCTTATAACTTTCCAAGTATTTTTCTCAAATGGCGGGCATTAGCCATTATAGGCGTTGCCCACTTCTAAGGCTAAAAGTGGTAGTAATTTTATTATTTAGGTGACTAATAGGTGGGCCATCGTTGCCTCCTATGAAGGGACAGATAATTTACGTCCATGCCTTGTCGGGTGTTCGAACTTGGGCTCTTTGGTAAGGTAGTCAGAGCCTCTACCCACTTCCCCCTCTGGGTGGCCATCATTTAAAGGACGAAATGCACAAATTACCAACAAGCAAGAAGGAAAAACAAAACTCACCGAGCCGGGTAGCTGTGTGTGTGGTATAACAATTCCCTATACAAAATAGCAAGGTTCTACGACTAATCGTTTTTGACGTATGCGAGATACATACATACGTACGTGCTTATGTACAGATGTCACGAAGAAATCCCTTTTGAATCCATTTTACGATCCGGTTTAGGAAAAAAGTCCTTTATTGCGTCCATACGTAAAGATGTCACGAAAAAAAAATGGAAGTATGAATCATTGAAGTATGATGTCGAAATTTTTCGACATAACGATACTTCCTTTACTTCGTAGAAAGAAGTAAAAAAAATATAATTGCTAAGAGAATTTTCAACTGTTAAAAATCATAATAAAAATTAGAAAGAACCTAAGATTGTTTCTATTATTTCGAAAGATCTTTTACCTATCACAGACAAGACGCATACAAGGCCTGTAAGAATGAAGCTAATAATAAGTGTAAATCTCCTTCCAAACCGTTCCATCAGTAACCAACTTGCTAAGTTGCCTGGCACTTCCATCACCGCCAGAAGAAAGAAGTTTAGGAATTCATTTCCAGTTAAGTTGTAAACATTTAACTGCAGACCTTCATATGCCAAGAAACTTGCAGTCCTGAAAGGAAATCAGCAAGAATAAGTTGTTGTTTAGAAATTCATTGCATTATTCTGAACGAGTTTTGGTACAGAACAACAAAAATAAAACAGTAACAAACCCGATCTAAGGCGGAATATTGGTAATTCACCCATAAAAATTATACATTCATGCAATAATAGTTTCACTGCTGTTGTTACTTCCGTCTGTCTGACTCATTAAATAACTGGTTTCAGACCAACATAAAACTGTCTACATATCGCTCTCCGCTTGCGCTATAGAAGAAATTGCTTTTATTTATTCGTCAAACTATATCAAACATCAGAACAAAATGCAACACAGTAATAACTTAGGTACCTTCATATGTTTTTATTTTATTGCTTTAATTATAATGTTAATAAATTATAATTAAATCAATAAAATAAAATTATAATGTTAATAATTAAAAGACATTTTATATTATTAAAGTTAAACCGAAAATTCAATATTTTTATGAACCGAAAGGAAAATAAAGGACCGAAAACCGAAAGGAAAATTTTAAACCGAAAGGAAAATTAAATAAATAAATATATAAACTATTGAAATTTAATAAATGAATAAACTATAAAAAAGAAAGAAAGTTTCTTTCTGAAAAGTCTGAAAGGTTTCAGATTTTAACGGTCACTCAAAAGGGTTTGTTAAGGTATTTTGCGTTCTCGGCGAGCTCATAGTCTACCAGTCTGCTAGTCTGCTTGGTCTACCAGTTTGCTAGTTTGCTCTCGCTTAGCTTTATCATTAATCATCGTTTTCTTCCACTTACTAGGTATACTGTTAAACAAAAAAATTTCAAAATTTTTAAACGTTGTTGCATTGAAGCACATGCATAGTATTCCACATGCATTGTTAAGTGAATATATATTTATATTTTTTCAATCTTTTTTTCGGGTCTCCATAACAGTATCAAGTTAGTTCTTAGTAATACGAGTAATCAAAAATATTTTGTCTTTTTATGGTCAGCGCATTAGATTAACACATTATATTTATGTGTTAATTAATAAAATTGAATTCAAAGCAAAATCACAAAATATTTAGAATGAGCATAGTTCACGCGGCCAGACATCTAGAAAAGTTATAATAAAAAAAGAAAAAAATATGTAATGACTTTAATGAGTTCATTTAGTGAAATTTTATAAAAATATTGAACACTGCTAATTAGACATCTCATAAGTTTAATGCATGCTAATTTAAATTCATTACATTAAAAAGTAGACAAATATATTCTTAAGAGCTATGTTTATTGCTTTTAAACCACTTAGTTTATTACTCAGTAACTTACAGATTAAGGCTTTGCTGACACACTGGCGAGTGGATGATAAAAGCATTTTATTTCCGGCTGCTTAGCGCATTACTTTCATGCAGCTGAGTTGATTAATTAAAACTGAAAGCTGTTGAATCTTACATTTTTCCGTATGGCAACAGTCCCGCGCCCTGGAGATAAAAAGGTTTCATTTCGAACTGTGTTCCCGCCGCTCCCTTTTAAATAGTTGAGTTTTTAATCAAAAAATCATTAAAGTTTTACAAATTATGAAATAAATGTAATAAAACAAACTCAAAATTTGGGCTCCCATGTGCACATGTTCGAGTGGGGGGACTACCTCATTCAAAATTTTTTGGCTCTAGGTATCGTCATTGTTTCATAATGCAAGGATGCATTAAGATTCTTCATTAATTAATTTCTTTAAAAATAAGACAGGGTGACAATATTTGGTGACAAGAATTTTAAAGCGATGTATCTATCGTATAGAATAAAAGAACACAAAATACCATTCGAGACTAGTATCCCGTTTTGTGCTAAAATTTTTATACTGCAGAAACTTCTTCGTTAGTAGGCTACAATTTTCAGAAATGGAACTTAGTTCGATAAGAAAAATAATATGATGAATTGTTTTTATCACTTTTTATTCCATTAAATGGACTGATGAAGCACAATCTACTTACTTAATTTATAATGGAACGTTAATTAGAGCATGGCATCATATAAAGTCTAAACTATTACGATACCTTAATACAGTGCGTGCAATGTACGGCAATAAACCGAAGGATTAACATTTAACATATGCACAATTTATAAAAACTTAAAATAAAGAAAAAAAACCCTTTTTAACTGCAGAAAAATAACAGGCCTTACATGAAAGAGAAGACTGTTGCCAGCTGCAATTAAATGTTGGAAATATTCAAGGAAAAATATAGAAAGAATATTCATAAATTTCTTTCATCGAATGATAATGTTAGGGTGTTTCTCCCACCTTCTTAGCATGCCTTCGTAGTGTAGTGGTCTGCACGCTGGGCGAGTATTCCAGAGATCCATGGTTCGATTCTCTGCGAGGGCGTTGCTCATCTACTTCCAAAACATTCCTAATGTTTCTAAACGCATTTAAGAAAATTTTAATCTCTAATTGCAGAAACGTGTAACCAGAGTTAAGAATAAGTCAAAATTTGCAGTTTAATTAGATTAAAAATGTTTCATTTCTTCCTTAGGAAAATTAATAGTATATGTAAACTATGCATTCATAAGAAGTATACATTAAAGATGATGAGTTTTCCCAAATGAGGATTCTTACGTAAAAGTACAAAACAACAAAAAAAAAAAAAAAAATGTAGGCAGACATAGCTAACCGTTACATCTTTATTTTTCATAGTAAAGTTAACCGTTACATCTTTATTTTCCATAGTAAAGCTCCCTTCCGTTCTAAAAACCTAAAACATCTACACGGCTAGGGCCGCTGTTACTCAGCGTTCTGGAATATTTTCCAGAACGCTCAGTTCGTGATTTTATAACAATCTCCCCAGCTTAAGTACGATGGAATGGTATTCAAAATCAAGGAATACGTCTCTTCGAGTTTTCGTATTATTCATACACTTTTGGAAATGACTCATTGTCTCAACGAGATTTAAGGTCTGCTTCGTATTGCGCAAATTCTCTTTTGTTGGGAACAGCCTGCAAGACTGTTTTTTCATTTGATTGATTACCTTCCACTTCTTACTGGTCTTATTATGTCATCGGTTCATATTTTTACTTAAACAATACGAACATACCCATCCTTCCCTGGATACAGCTACATTCTTTATAGCTGCCAAACAACCCATCTGTTGTTTGCATTCCCAACTAAAATTATTTCTCCTAATTTCACCTGTTCTTTGATTTTGCGGCATTTTTGGAATTTTAAGCAGATTTAAGTATTCAACTCTGAAACCTTTTCTTAAATCGTTTCTCAGTTTTTGACGGCACTGCCAACGTTTTTACAACTTTGTTCCATTTATGTCATCAAATTCAATTGTATAATCTTCTGTATATATTGTGCCTTAAAAACATGTTTGGAGATAAAGGAATTAAATTTTGAATGTCCGGATATGGTCAGAGGACGGGAGTTGATGACATTTTCAAATTCTTTTAAAACAGAGTATCTCTTCATACTCTAGACTTGCCCTGCCTCTTACTCTTCAACATATCCTTTATAATTCTAATCATTCTTTTCCACCACCCTCTCCACCGTACCGATGTAAAAGGGTTGAATATCCATTTAATTTTCTTAATAGTCGCCTTTTACTCCATTTCTTTTCAATTTATTATCTGGAAAATTTTATTAGTTCAATAAAGTTAGTACCCATTAACTGAATATATGGTCTTCCTTTCCGAGTTATGAATTTCCTCAGGCTTCGCATAAATGCTTTTATGGTAGAGCAGTAACAACCTCAAATGTATATTGCCCGATAGACAGCGCATGTAAAAATCATTATCCATACCTTCTTTTGACCAGAAGTATAAAGGTCCGGTTAAATCTATATCCGTAATGTGAAAAAGTGCCGTTACTCTTTCTTTCGGTAAGGGTATGGGGTTTACGTCAAAACTGGGTATCTTAAAACTTCGACATCGACCGAAATTTTTTTAATTACATGACGAACGGTCCTTCTACATTAAATAACCCACAATTGTTCTCTCAGAATTGCCATTAAAGGGAGTCATCACTTTTGAGCAACACAAGAAGTGAGAATTTTAGCTGATTTTCGAGTTTTAATAAGTCAAATTGTTTTGGTCATACATATATGAAATTTTCAGTGTGTCATCTCTATACATAGATGATTATCTTCCTTGATTTATTTTACTTAATAGTGTATAAGACTTTGTTTTATAAAGAAAAACCTAACTGTATTTTCCAAAAATTTAAAATTTGTACTGAAGCGCTACGCGCAAACTGACAGTAATACAAATGTAGTTACAGTAATAAATTTTATAATTTTGTAATCAAATATCATTAGGTATGATTCTTCACCTATTTAAGTTTTAAAATATCAAAGAATATTAATACCATTACAATAAGATGTTAGAAAACAGAAAAAGCATTAAAAATGTTTTAAGTGAAATTATATAACTACTTAAAAAATAATTTTTCAAAGAAAATGTTAGGTGCATTTTTTTGAGCAATATCATCATGTATTTACTCTGAAAATTTTAAATCAATAGCTATGATAGATTGTTTTAAAGAGTGCGCGCAAGTATGAAAATCACCATTTTGAGAAAAATGGTTTTAAAGTTTAAAGTTTCAAATTTTTTAATATATGTTCTCTCAAATAATACTAAAACAGTTTAAAACTGCCCAGCTGCAAACAATATACCCTCCTGTTCTTCAATTAGCTGTTACTGCAACAAGTTTGGCTCTTTTTCTTGCTCTGCGAACATGTATTGTAGACGTCTCTGCCTTTATTTCGGCTGACTGAATACGACAGTGATCAATGTCTGCTGCAAACTTTACTGCATTATCAGCAATTCGGTATCCAAGTTCATTCATAGTATTGTAATCGCCCAGGTTGACCGTCGCTATATATAATAACTGCCTCATTCACTGCTGTCTTAGCAATATTATAACCACACCCGGAGTTTTTAGGACACAATTTCCAAATCAAAGCATTCAATGATTCATTTGGATTCTGTGTATGTCCTCCTAAACACTTTTTAGTAATAATCACACGATAAGATCTTTAAATATATCTTTGGTAGCATCCATTACAGGTGGTGGAATTGAATTTTTATGTTTGTACGATTTCAGATTTTCACTCGCACTCACTCTTTGATACGTGCACCACGAAGTGATTAGGTTCCACGTCGGTTGAACGTTTGTGGTAAATTATTGCCCAGACTGCCTTTTGCATATATTTTACAGAATTGCAAAGTTTTTTAATAGCATTTCCATAATAAATTGCCAATTCGGTTATATTATCATCCGTAAGGCGACCTTTTCCACTGAGAGTTTTATTATCACTAAGTTTCTTACCCTTCATTTCTTGTTTTCGCTTTCGTTATCTAGTGCCTATTATTTTCTGAATTCGTCCGACACATTCGGTTTTACCAATATACATGATTTTAACAGTAAAAATTAATGCAATCGACAAGTGAACATTCGTAAGCAGCTACGTGTACAAATGTAAACAAACGTCAGGTGATGATTTAAATGCCCGATCTGGCAATATTTACCTAAGAATCGTTTTCTTTATTTCATAATTTTTAAGGTTCTAATTCGAATATCTTAACATTTCTGAGTCTGTTTGTTTTAACAGACTCAGAAATGTCTACAGCTTCTGAAAATGCAAAAAAATAAAATTCGATTTTTTGAATATGTAAAGGTGATGACTCTTCCACTAATCTCTCAGAATTGCCATTAAGGACTGAATATCTGCATGAGAATTTTCTTCGTGTTTTTCCTTAATTATTAGATTAGTGATGGTATGGTTAAAGAAACGACAGTGACCTTACGACAGTCGTGAGTTTCTAAGGTCGTGAGTACAGTATTAGTGACAGTATGGTTATATTTGTCTTGCTGATACAAAGTAATTCAGCATAAATTTACATATTTTCTTGATTTTATTATTTCAGTTTTTAATTTTGAATACTCTTAAATATGCTACTTATTGTCTCTTTGTACATATTTAGAAATATTTAAAAACCTTTCTGTTTATTCTGTAAACGAAATGCTAATTTTATTTTAAAATATGATCTGAAATTTCAAATAATCATTGGGAAAGAACTTGTGCAAAAAATATTAAATGGTAGGAAATAAACAACTTTAAAAGCTTCAGTCATTCTCTTACCAACAGATACTGATAAATGCGAAGAGTTTTCTCATGTGTGGTACCCTCAGAATATCCGTTGCTGAATGCTTCAGACCCTTCAGCTTTTCGTCTTTACACTTTTCGTCTAAAGCCTATTCAATATTAAACAAGTTAACAGTTATCAGATAACAAAGATGAACAAAATATTAAGCATTTTACTGATATGTGTCTAAAGCCTGTATGCAAGAATTACAAATTTTCTTTAATAAATTATGTTAGAAGTATTGCATTATTCCTTACACGAACATCGTTAGCAACTAATGCATTGTATCCAGTGCGAAAGTCTGCATAAAGTAGTTCATTAAAATTTTCAAGTACGTTTTAAAGTAAACGAGCAATGAATAATTTATTGGAGTTTTCTTTAAATAATGAAACCACTTGGATAAATGTAAAGTTACTTTTAACATAACACTACTTTCGAATATTACTTATATGCTCTTGTACTTATATTCAAATACAAAAGATCTCTTACAATCTGCGATTGATTAGTTTGCTAATGTCTGTAATCTGAACTCAGCTTTTTAATGTAGACAAACAAAATTTCGATTTTTAGAAGGTTCCGTTTGGCGATTTCAGCTGAAATGTTTTTCTTTTGTGTACATAAAAATAAACCTTAAAAATAAAAATACACTGTATTTAACACACATGTTGATTGAAGAAGGGAATTTACATTGTTCTCAAAATTATTTAGAATTTTCTGTACTCGTTTCAACGTCAGTTTGAGCGGGGGGGGCAGTGTCCGAAAAGTTTTCATTCTGTATTCAAACTTCCCAGGTGGATTGTTAACATTTGGCGTAACTAGTAAACGTATTTGATCAATGGCGAATAGGGATACACTCTTGAAACTAGCACTTGCAAAGATTTTCTAGCTCAAAAGTTCAAAAAATGTTAACAACAATTTTCTTACGTTCCTCGCCGCGGCTCTAGGCCATTTTCGGCATTACACGGCCTAACCCCCTCATTGGTTCCGAAGGTTCAACCCATGGAGGTAGGAAGCTAGACCTCCATGGTTTCTTACCTCCATGGTTCACCCTCCTTCCCCGCACGTCGGAAAGAAGGACATTATCGCCTTACGGCGACGCTGTCACTCGGGCTGCAAGTAGCAGAGGGACATTACCCAGCGAACATGGGACACTGCCCCCGAACTATAGAGCCATTCTGCTCTAGGACACGCCAGACCACTGGGCTGGCCAATAAGTGACCTTACCGGGGCATCCAGAACCACTAGGTTCATAATGTTTTTACCCTCGTGGCATATACTGCCTAGGTACAGATCCTAGCCAGTAGCTTTGCAGAATTCTCTATGTCGACCCCCCGAGGGGGGACAAAACGTGGTAAAAAGGACTAATGAACAAAAACATTTTCAATTTTAGCATTTTAATAGCAGTTCAAATATGCATGCACAAAATGTAATGGGAGAATTAGTACAGGATTTTGAATTGGGGAAATCCTTACGAATAGGGCTTCTGTAAACTGTGTTTTTATTCATTTCTCTTTCATTTAGGAGCGCCAAAATTACCTTAAAAGTAATTTCTTTGGCGGATATACATTGTTTTAGACTAAACCATCCATAGCGCGTTTACCAAAAGGGTTCTAATTTTCTTGAAAAAAAATTTATTTCTACATTACATTTTCCCTTTGAGCTAACAATATTTTCTTTGCATGTAATTGTCTTAAAATATACAAATCTTGATTAACTAATTCTTATGGCTTGGGCGCATTTTAATTAATTATTTGTGTCCAAACAAACCAGGTTTGAAATAAAATCCAGAAAGGAAAAGATGTAAACAAAACCCAGAAAGACATCATCTATGATCCGCAAAATTCATTAATCCATAGAACCTTTATCTCAAGGTAAGCATATTCTCAGAATTCTATTGTGTTATTGTCGAGTTTAAATAAAAAGCTCACTTTAAATTCATTAATAAGAAACCTTGAATAATGCTTTTAGTACATAATTACATTAAAAGTATTGGAGTGGGAATCTGCTATGTGAATTATTTTATTTATCTAAAATGCATTTCATTTGCAGTGAACATATTATTTAAATAATTGTAATAACAATGATAAAAATAATATTTTAAATTATTATTAAATAATAAGAATATTTTAAATAATTTTATCTATATTTTTTAAAATATTTAAATTTTTAGATATTCATGAAAATGCTAATAATCGAAAGCTAATGATTATACCTAATGCTTAAAATACTTTTTTTTTTTTTTTTTTTTTTTTTTTTTTTTTTTTTTGTTTCATACTTGAAGATCCTTCATGTCAAATCGTTCCTTCAAAAGTAAATGTTCAGTATTAATCAGTAAAAAATGTACATTCAATTTTCATTATTATTAATGTTTATAATTTTATTATCCAATGCAATGCATTTTTAACGTAAAGATGTCACTTATTTTCAAATGAGTACCTGTAGTTTTGTCAGCAGAATACAAGGATTGAGAGTTTTTCCATTCTTCTTTGCAATTTTTTTCATAATTCCAAATGCTTCTTCACATCTTCCCCGAGAGACCAACCAACGTGGGGATTCGGGAATAAAACTAAAAATGAAAAAGAATATTTTTCAGTCGTTATGTATCATATTAACTAACTTCATTCCTTTGATTCTCCGTAATTCTTCTATAAATCACTACTTTCGAATCCAGAATCGTCAGAAAGAATCTTAAAGAAGCTTACTGACATATCACTATGAATCATTATATTCTGAACTGATATCTCCAATGAATCTATTGATATTTCGATGAGTAGTTATATGGGTACAGAACAAAAAATTCATGTTTACTCCGCATTATTAAATACTTGTACCGAAACTTACATTTTAAACTGCATTTTATCATGTTGCAAGCTATGTAATACGTTTTTGAGCTTAACCCAAAGATTTATTGCATTACTATTCTTCAATGAAGTGCTCCGTATATATCTCTCATTTAGATGTCTTTTATACATAAGTATCATTTATATGTCTATAGGTATAAATTTATATGTTTTAAACGTGTAAATGTCATTTCGTCATTGTCGCGATTATTCCTATAGCAAAGTATTTCATTTATACGATGCATAACTTCACTTATATGTCGTTTATCATTTCCTGCTTCTTTTCGAAACTCAAATAGATTCACCCAAAATCATTTCTTTCTTTCGGTTGCATTTAAAAGCTGCACCTTGAGATGTGTGAGAAGGAAATTAAAACGATGGGTATCTCAGACTGGTACAGAGGCTAAAAACCGGCTTTTGGATTGTAGGGTTTATATTTATTTTAACTAACATTTATTTTAAGTTAAACTACCTTTCCTGTCAAGCCTTACTTTCCCCTGGAACTGCCAATGCCAGAGTATGTAAATTTTAGTAGAACGCGCAAGGATTCAAATTATCAGCGGAAGTATTCTGAGTTAAATAGAAAGGAAACGAGTTCGGGATGTGCTGTTCTTACTTCACGAGCGCGGAGGTAGTTAGCCAGAAATTGAAGAACCCCGCGTTTCGGCTTGTGTGCTTGCCTGGAAGTATTGTTAATCGTTCAACGTGATCTTCAAGTTTGCTGAATTAGCAGCGGTATTGTAAAACGCGGTGAGGTTAGTTACTTTTAGAGAGCCTTGTAGTTAGAGTCTTGTCTTTAGTTTCTTTTCAGGTTATTATTTTTATTTTACCGCCAAGTTGGCGTAGTTTGTGAGCGTCAAGAGCACGCACTTGTAATTTATTACGTTGAATAAAAAGGGACTTAAACCCTTAACAAGACTCTGTCTTTTATCCAGTTTCAACAGTCACCTCTTGGTTGCGTGCAAGTTGGAGGCGCGCAACGCTACAGGATGAACGTTTGAAGTTATGGGCGGAATAGAAATGTTGGTCCAAGTGGGGACCATTTTTATGAATTAGAGTATTCTACCTAAGAACGTACTCTTTTCCCTTTCGAAAGTAATTTTCAGCACGTGCTACTACCACACATATATTTAAAAAATTAATTAATTGTAATTATTTAAATTTTAAATTGACATTAATTAATGCTAATAATTCAAGGCAGTTAGAAATTGAATAATTTTTACATTATTAATTAAAAGTTAAATCTATTGTGGCACTCACAGTAATGAGAGGGATGGACCGGCCGATTCTCGCCCAGCTGTTCTACGTCTGCGTGTGTCTGCTTAAGTCTGAGATTAGCTTCTACCTCAAGCAGATATCAGTACTTTGTATTAATTTATGTCAGTGATGGAAATGGTTTTCCACAAGATAATTCATCACAACCAAGATTTGGCTACTGCGCCCTTGAAAAGAGAGAAAATATAAATTATTTTCTGCTGTATGCCCCCGCGGTGTAAAGTAGTCGGGAGGTTTCGGTTTTGAATCCCGGCGAGGACATTGCACATTTTTCACATCTTCTGCATCGATAAACTTAATGACTCTACACGTTCTTAAATGTTTATTTGGAATAGTTAATTGCGCTTAACATTGATGAGTTTCTTAAAGAAATTAATAAAAATGTGTGCTTTCTGGGAATTAGAATTTTTTTAAAAATGATATGATTACAAGATCAAAACCAAGCAATTATTTGATATATTTGACTGTGAACATTGAATAGCAGTTTTAAATTACTTACAGAATGGTACAACATTGAAATTGTGATACATCGTATTCCATATTCTCTCAGGTTTTCGAGAAATATTTATTAACATTTTTAGATGAATTTTTAATACGGGACATATTTAACTTAACGACATATCGACAACATACTCCTAATTTAACGACGGGAAAATGGGAATAAAGAGAAATATTCGAACAGATATAAATAAATAAAATAATTTTTGAAGAAAATCATATGAGCCACGCATTAAAAGTAAACAAAAATTGCTTAATTTGTTTTTATGTTTTACGAAATTTAATAATGAATACTATAATGTAATGTTTATTAACATGTTCTAATTTTATAAATTCTTAACTAATTTTTAAATTGGATATATAACATTTTTTATTTTATATTGTTATAATTTAGTTCGAATAAAATTAGAATATTGTAAAAAATTCTGATTCATAATCATTAGTTTTTCTTTACATTGCTTTCAAGTTGAGAATTATTTATCCATAACTATTTAATTAAAAGTTTTAATATTTTTATGTCATATTCAATTCTTATATCTTTTACACAGGTTTAAACATATACGCAATGAGTCTATAAAACACCAGGACTTCATTCACAATAGAATATCTAGAAATATAAACTTTATTACTTTTAGCGTCCTATGTGCAGTATTTCTAGAACAATACGTTGCTTGACCAGGCACTCACTCTCATATAGCTTCTAGATTGCTTTGTAGAACACTATTCTCGAAATAGACTTGCATAACATTGCTCCGTTTAGTTTTACGAATTTCTAAAATGCTATCAAAATGTTCCTCTTTAACTTGAAATTGTATCTTAATGGACCTGAAAGCAGAACTAACATGTGTGAAATCTGACGTGTAAAAATATGCTACACTTTTGTTTGCAACTCAGCAGCTTCATGACAATTGCTGTGTATGAAGAAGCCTCAATGTGCTTATCATTTAATTAATCACTGAATTCGTATCGGCTTGCAGTGACTGCACGGAGTCGACAAAAGAATTAACTTTAGAATTCTATCCTTAAGATATTTTAATGCAAAAAGCTTAAGATACGTTAGTATCTTGTGCTGCTGACTATTACTTGAATGCTTGACTAAGATTGGTTGAAAAACTTGAAGACATAAAATTTTGGAAATGAACTATGTATGTACGTTCCATATGATAAGTAGACTTACCTCCAACAAAATAAAAGGAAAACCGTCATTGAAGCCGTAATTAGGCTCAAGGTAACCCAGCTTCTTGATAAATAAGCAACTGCAGGTAAAAGACATAGTCCAAATGTCCAACAACAGCTCTGGACTCCATTTATAAAGGCGCGTTTTTCTGGAGAGACGATCTCTAAAACTAAATTAGAGCAAATAAATAAGTTTGCAAAAATCATACAGTAGTGCGCAAATTAATGTTGTAAGGATTATATTAATTTATCTAACAGTTAAATTTTAAGAGGTATAAGCAACCCGTATACCGACAATGTTAAATTGGCCATTTTCAATGTACCTTTTCTCAAAGTCTGCTGTAGATACACGCTTGAAATATTTTGTGTAATTAAAGTATACCTATCTGATTATACTGAAATGAGCTTTTGAAACATTTTTAATTTTAGAGTAATTTACATAATGTTTTGTTAGGCATAGTAAAATTTAGCACCTCACACAAAAATTTTTCAAATTTTTTTTTTCCTAAGTTTATCACAAAAATCTCATTTCAGTAAATATTAGGAAACTAATAAATAAGCCATAAACATGTTAGATGCCTGAGAGCAGTAGTTCCTCAGAAAAGGTACATCGAGTGTAAAAAAATCAGGTTTGGAGTAAAACGCATTTTTATGTAAAAATCCTCATTGATCAAAGCAGTCGATGACAAATTAAAACTGGATTTTTTTTACAGTTCTTATTTTCATACAGATTAAAGAATGGTATTTTTAGAAAGATAAAAGTATATAGAGAATTTGAAAATGCAAAAATCCGAAATCATAATTTTTTGAAAGATTTTGGGGTTCCAACACCCCTTAAACTTCCTTTCCTATTATTTCTGAATTTCAACTTAAAACTTAAGGCCAGAATGTATTTTTAGAATCACGTTTTAATGCGAATTGAGGAAGAGAGGTATTTAACCCCGAAGTTCTACTGTCTTAATTAGAGAGAACCAAAGATTTTTGCTAGCACGCGTCCGCCATTTTAGGCTACGCTGCCTTAAGCTATTATTACGCTCGGCCATACGTTAGGCCCTTGATACTTTTGAGGTCAATCAGTGTTAAGTGGCCAACTCCGTTAGAAGTTTGATAGCTTCGGCTACAACTTTTTAGTTAAGATTAGTTTAGTTTAGGTTTTAGTCTCTTACGTTCAAGCTCGAATGTCGGCTTTTATTGTACACTCCAAGACGGAGTTCTGTTGTACCTTATTGGAATAATAAAGGGTTGTGCCTGCATCCACTGGTACTATGCCATTGTGTCACTGGTGTTCACATACTCCACAAGAGAAGAAGTCTATCTTCACAGGGGTGCCTACAACTCGTCAAACACCACCTTAAACAGGTAACAGAATCTACACCAGGTAGAACGTACCAATTTCACATGTGTATTTGAACAGCTGACCAGTGCATCAAATGCAATAATTCATCAAAGTACATGTTAAAGTAGCACACCCATGGACCGCTAAAATCTGAACATTGAACTTGGACCAAATGGAACACTACCTATCTAATTACCGCAGTACAACATTCAATACATAACTCAAATGTAACACCCTAGGTATCATACAGCATATGCTATGCCAAAACCAACAAGCTCTATAATGAACATAACCTCTTGCATTGTAAATAATCTGTAATAGTATGATAATGCTATGTCGTATGAACATAACATTTTGCATTGTAAATAATCAGTAATAGTATGATAATGCTATGTCCTATGAACATAACTTCTTGCATTGTAAATAATCTGTAATAGTATGATAATGCTATGTCCTGTGTGTTGAAGTATGTTGTAACAGTATGTTGTAACAGTATGTTGCGCTATGTCCTATATGTTTTTAGTGCTATGTCCTATGTTTACTGTAATCAGGTCCCCTGTGGAAATGGACGGTGCCAAAACCAGCAAGCTCTATAATGAACATAACTTCTTGTACTGTAAATAATCTGTAACCATACGTTAATGCTATGTCCTATGTGTCGAAGTATGTTGTAACAGTATGATGTTCTATGTCTTATTTGTTGTTAGTACTATGTCCTATGTATACCGTAATCAGGTCCCCTGTGCAAGGGGTGGTAGGCTAGAGAGGTAGTGCATGGGGACTATACCATTTTTGTCAATGGCGATGGCGTGGTGCCCCCTGTACTTGTTCCTGTCCTGTCCTGTACTAGGAACTCAAGCGATTATTCGCTTATCAGTTCTTCAAAATCAACTGTGGCTTTAAAGTACACAGTGCAGAATCTGATAATGTGAACAAGAGGGAGTTTTCGTTTAATTGTACTTCTTGAGTTTGGCAGGCTTAATTTACAGCTGATATTTAACTGAGGTTAGGCTCATCTGTTTACTATTTCGTACTGTATTACGTTTAGGAGATTCAGTGCAATTGTCTCTCTATGGCGGTATTACATCTGTATTACATAGCGAAAAAGCTGTGTTACAAGTTTTAAACGATGGACCTTACTCCAAAGAAAAGAAGTAAGATAGTGACATTAACTGAACACTCTGCTATGGCTCAGATGGACATTGCTAAAGTGTGTAATGTGAGTCTGGATGCTGTTAATACAATTATTAGACGGTTAAATGAGATTATCACACCAGAGGAAAAGAAAGTGTGGGAGAAAGCGAGAAACTATGTCAGGGATGACTCTGTTTAACTAAGGAAATCCAAACAAAATCCTAGCTTCAGAAGTTTTGACCTTCAAATAGATTTAGCAAAGTCAGGCATTCATGTTCTTGACTCGGCTGTTAGTCGTAAGCTACTAAAAACTAGACGTAAGGTTGTCCATCCTTATCAAAAAACAACCTTTAACTAAGCTATTAATAAAAAAAGGGACTATCCTAGGAAATAAGATATAAAACAAATGGAGGGGAAGGCATTGCGAAAACCTTTTATATTCAGATGAAACCCATTTAGTTGTGCAAGGACAAAGGTCTGGCTAGTTACCTCAGGAAATCACACAGCCAGAAACTGTCTCATAAACATATCGAACAGTCTGTAAAATACCCCGATAAGAAAATATATTGGGGGTACTTTCCTATTCATGGGCCAGGATGACAATTGGCAGCTGATAGAATGATAAATTCCAACAAATATATTGAAGTATTTAAAAGAAAATTAATTCCTAAGTTGAAGGTACTGTGACCAACAGGACACGGCATTTTTCAACAAGATATTGCTCCGTGTCACATGACGAGAAAAGGGAAAGAAATTATTAAAGAAGCTGATTTTAGATTGATCAGTTAAGTCGCTCGACCTCAATCCAATCGGAAACCTCGTGGACTGTTCTTAAGGAAAGAAAAATAATTGTAAACAAAAAAAAAAAAAAAAAAAAAAAAAAAAAAAGATGATTTCTTCTTTAATCTAAAGTATGTTTTCACGACGATGAAGCAAAGATAACGTGCCATAAGCTGATAACCTCTTTGCCAAAACGGGCGAAACAAGTCACACAAGCTAGAAGTGATCATGAAATTTTGCAAAATGTATAAGGTATTTCTCCTGCCTTCTTTACTGTGCCTTCGTGGTGTAGTGGTCTGCCCGCTGGGCGCCTATTCCATAAGCAGTTCGATTCCCGACGATGGCGTTGCAAATTTTTCATCTCTCCCGCTTTAATGTTCCTAATTTCTCTATAAATGTAAACAACTAAAATAATTTTTAATGTTTCAAGGAAACTACCTAATAATCAATTGCAGTCAGGTTAAACTGAACACTGCTTTATGTTCTTATCCGATTTCTTTCTGATTACTTTCGTATTACTGACTGTATTATTTGAGAGGAATATCTATTCATACTAAAATATGGTATTTCAAAGAATTTTAAATTATTTATTTGAAGCAATTTATTGCAAATGCAAAATAATGAGATTTTTTCATGTATTCATGAGTTTCTTCAAATACAATATGTATTAAATTAACTTACATGTTATTAATATGAATTTACTAAATTCAAAATAATAAATGACTCGTAGTAAGCTGAGTAAATCTATGACGATAACGAACATTAAAAACTACTCTTTCATAGATAAAAGTAAGGTAACTATCAGAACCTGATTGCAAGTTAAGGTAACTATCAGGGAAAAAAAAATGTTTACGAAGAATTTTATAAATGGCACTTTTTTATGTATATTTTTGCATGTAAATACAAGCATTTACTAATTGCATACGAGCAAAATTTACCATCAGCTGAAAAATGTCAATCACAGAAGCCACTAATAATTAAGCAGTTTAGAGAAAAAAATACCCTTCTTAATATATGGCCAACTAAGTCAAGTTCTTCTGAACAAATTTCTTTTCTACGAATTACAAACTATGATAATGTGTATTGATTATGTTAAATTAAATAATGATCATGAACGATTGAAAAAAAACCATTTGAAATTCTCTTCTGGTTTCTTTCCTCCACGCAACTGCATTATTTTTTACACCTTCTCCAACTTTTTAGTCAGTTGTCAGTTTTCCTTTACATTATAGATTTTAGTATGTCTAATAGTATTTACCATAGATACTGAAATTATAGTAAGGAAAATAACACCTGGGAATTGATTTAGTATTTATTTTTATTTTGTCACGTTTCACTACTGGATTTTATTTTAAAAATTTAATATCGTTAATACTGCTTCTTTTTGTTTTAAGATTTAAAAGAAATTATGCAAAGATAAACAGAAAAAGAAAAAGGTTTAAAACTCAGTTTTATATTAAACATCATTCCATCAAAAATATATTTTCAATTTTCACAAAATATGCATGTCAAACATATTCGAACTGGGTAAAGTTTTCTATATCAGAAATGAAGAGAAAGGGGAAAAAAACAAGATCTGGCTTAATTATTAAGAATCAAAATTTTAGATACATAGAAATTAACAGTAAACAGCTTATTGCCTTTGTGTTTCCAAGAAAAGTAAAGTTTTATTTGAAATGAAAAAAAAAAAAAAATTCTGGAATTTATTAAATTTGAAACAACTTTTATTCATATTACAATTAAATGATCATAATATTTTATATAGCATGAAAAAATATATATTAATTATTAACTCTTTGAAGACCACAACGCCCCAGACGGCCTCTCATTCAAATGACCACAACCGCCCGAAACGGCCGAAATTCCGATATTGTTTTCTTCCGATATTGTTCCCCTAAGGCATATAGCAGAAGGTGCAGTTTCCCCGAATGCATTGTATCAATTTTTTGCAGACAGCTTGTCCTAAAAGGATTTCTTTGTGATTCCTTATCTTTATTTCTTAGAAATAGAAAGGATGTCATTTGAAATCATTACCCTTATTTGTGCTTTAATGGATGAGGAGGGGATGAATTTGCTGTGACTCTGGAAGACCATTTCGGGCGAGTCGGTATTTTAATATGCAGGTTAGGGAAAGATTCGGTTTTCAAAGAGTTAAACGCGTTGCGTTACATGCATTTTAAAGTAATTTAAGAACACTTTAAAGCCTATTATTAATACTGTCTGGTTATACCAAAAAAGGGGACTAAATATACCATCGAAAGTTAATAAGTAATTTAATAAATAAATAATATTTTACTCACGCGTAACAAAAGGCAGTTGATAGATGGCAGGAAATACAACTCCATTAATCCCTCTAATTACTGTAAAAACCATAAAATCTTTCACAAGCACAGATGCAACTTCTGTCGCAGCAGCTAAAAGAAGAATACACACGAAAACAACTTTCCTGCCAAATCTAAAATTCAAAAAATAATGTTAGACAATGGCTCATCTTCTATTACAAGTACATATATTTCATAATAATAAGTTACGTAGGAAAATTTGTAACTTTTACTTTGTTAAGGGGGCTCATACTCCTTAAACCCCTTACGATCTTCGAATATGGGACTGTTGCAAGTATTGGGATATTTTATTTATTTTAAAAGCAATTACTTCCAACTTTTTACAGCTGACTACATAATATAGCTGCTTCGGGAACTAGTAACCAGAAAGTTTGTGTTGCCATAAATATTTTTGTAGTTTAATCCACTTTGTTTCAAAATATTTCGTCATATTTCCACCTTGCCCGCATGATACTTTAAAAATAGCTAATGGTACATACTTGAAAGTTGATGGAATTCTTTATATGGGCCCTATCTTCTACCTGAACCAAAAATTTGATGAATATTTTAATATTAAAAAATTTTATGTACAAAAACATTACAGATTTTTTTAATAAAATACATTTTATAAACTCAACTTTAAATAAAATAAAAATTTAACATGGCATTCTTAGAAATTTTGGTTCACAATATTTTACAAATGTTATGAAAGCTACATATTAAATATCGAATCAAATTATGCAACAGAATGTTTTAAACTGTGCGCGCAAGGTGGAAAATTGGCGAAAACGTTTGTCACAAAAGCGGATTAAATTATAAAAATATTTGTGGCAACACAAACTTTCTGATTACTATTTCAGAAAGCAGCTATATTATGTAGTCAGCTGTAAAAAGTTGGAAGTAATCGCTAGTAAAATAAATAAGTTATCCCAATTCTTGCAACAGTTACACATTCGAAGATCTTATGGGTTTTAAGGTGTATAAGTCCCCTTAACAACACACGTTTCCCATACTCTTTTGATTTGAATTAATAAAAACATCACGCAAGAGTCGTATAAAATGTGTGCATGAAAACTCTTAAAATAATATACTAAATGTAAGTTAAAATATTTTTAAATGTCGCTGTTAAGGTTTAGGTAGATGGTTTAGTATTGGCATGAATTAACCTTGAAAATCCTAATCTTCTAATGCTCAAACATCTTGACAAAAATATTCATAAGAATTGGAGAAATTAATACTACATGAGATTTTAGTGCTTCTGATAAAAGCATACAAATGCAGGTCGACAGTACAGTCAGACGATCTACACTGAAACTGATTCCAATAACCGATTAACTTTACTGAGAGAATTTACTACTATTCCAAAAATCAGAGTTGTAGATCCTTTAGAATTAAACGGCAGTTCATGTTAGAAATGTGCCAGAAATAGAAATCTGCTGTTCGTTTATAAATTTAATAATTTTACCGAATGGGCGAACGCATAGTTCGTGAAAAAAGAGTGAAGCTGTTGCTGAAAGTGTGCAAGAAAGTTCGATTCCTCTTTTAATATTCGAATAATTATTCTACTAATTAATAATTAATTATCCATGCTAAACGTGCTGTTTTTTTAATCACTTTCCAATTTTTTGAAAGATTTTTATTCTAAAATTTTTTTGTTAGTTCTGCGTCGAAATGAGTTTTCGGAGAACCTTAAAACTACAAAAATCAATTCAAGGAACTAAAGGGTTGAGTCGATGTGATCCAACAGCTCGTTAGATTGTTTTAGTTCTTTGCTCCATCCTCGCTAACCGCTCCCGATCCAATTCCTCTTTCGATTCTTTCCGTTCTTCGTTCCATCATGACTAATCGCTACTGATTCACCTCTCGTTCAGAATCTTTTCCCTCAGCGTTATTTTTAGTGTGTGGCGAGTCAAAAAGAACCGATTAATTTCAGAGAGCGAACATTTCGGACCTGATCTCACGAAAAAGCGGTTTTCTAGTCGGTACTGTAACAACCTTCCGAATACGAAGCAAATGAATAAAAATGAAAAATCATAAAATGGAAATTGGAGCAGTAAATACGAGACGTAGTAAATTGAGTAACAAGACTCAATAGAAATTGAGTAACAGGATAATAGAAATTGTCTATATGGCACTGTCTCAAAACGCTGCAGAGCCAACTTCTTCATTGCTGGGAATAGGTGGAAGTCGCTCGGTGCCAGGTCGGGACTGTACGGCGGATGAGGAAACAACTCCCACTTAAAAGATTCAAGAACTTTACGAGTGACATTTGCCGTGTGGGGCCGGGCGTTGTCGTGAATCAACAAGATCTTAGAGCTCAACATTCCTCTGCGCTTGTTTTGAATTGCTCTTCTGAGTTTTTGGAGAGTTTGGCAATACCTTTGAGAGTTTATTTGTAGTGCCTCTTTCCAGGAAGTCCACCAAAAATTACAACCTTTTCTTTCTGTCCCAAAAAAACAGTCGCCATCATCTTCCTTGCCGACATTGTTTGCAATGCATATCTTGGGTTTTGGGGAGAACTTGTGTGCCCCCACTGCATTGATTGCAATTTCGTTTCACAGTTCACATGTTTCACCCATGTTTCGTCACCAGTAACGATGCGATCGAGTAAAGAGTCACCATCCTTATGGTAAGCGTCCAAAAAGTTCAACGCTGCAGCCATTCGCTGATTTTTGTGGTCCTCTGTCAAGATTTTTGGAATCCATCTTGCACAAAACTTGTGGTAACCAAGCTTTTCGCTGATGATTTCGTGCAACAAACTTCGCGAAATTTGTGGAAAACTCAAAGAAAGTTCCGTTATTGTGAAATTTCGATTTTCACGGACTTTAGCATCGACTTTTTCGAGAAGTTCGGCGGTCACTATGCTGGGTCTCCCACTTCGATCTTCGTCGTGAACATAGGTTCGGCCATTTTGAAATCTTATGACCCACTGACGCACTCCACCTTCAGTGATAATGTTGTCCCCATACACTTCACGAAGCTGCCGATAGATTTCTATCGGTTTACAGTTTTTTGCAGTCAGAAACCTTATTACTGAGCGCACCTCGCAGCTCGCGGGATTTTCAATTAACGCAGACATTTCAAACCGTCACAGTATCTGAACGGAGCACAGCACGAACCTCTCACTAGCACGGCTAGATGCAGACTGAGCTGCGCAACGCTCTGACCCCAAGATGGCCGCGCTAGCCCCGCTCCTAGCGGACACAGACGGAAACGTAATCTACTTCCTGGATGGCCCTCGTATATGACCCTCCTCCTAATTGAGAGTGAAAAACGATGCATGAAACTCATTTTTTTAAAAATTTAATTTCAAATATCAATTTATGATAATGAACGGATATAAATGACTATTTGACAGGAAAGGTAGTTTAAACTTAAAATAAATGTTAGTTAAAATAAATATAAACCCTACAAACTAACAGCGTTTATTACTATGGTAACTGAGTTTGTTTTCGGAAAACAGTGTATGCTTGCACAGAGATGTTTTTAGGTAGTTAATCGTTTGCTTTGATCGAGTAAGTATCTGCTGGCATGGGATTGAAAGTTAAACCAAGAATAATAATAAAGGTTTGCTGTAAAGCAAGAAAAGCGACGAATGTTGTCAAACAAATCGGAACTGAAGGATGAAACCTAATGCTTTTCTGAAGATACAGTGGAAAAAGACCAATCATCTGCTTACATCAAAGAAAATTCACCACTGCAACAGAAATTTTAGTTTTCAAGATCATGCTGGAGACCATTTTTAATTGGAAAGCGATAATTTGCAAGAAATTCTTTACTGAGAAACAAATGGTGAATTCAAATTTTATAAAGATGTATAATTCTAAAGAGAATTCAGCTCAAAATGGCCGAAAAACCTCAATCGAATGAGTGATTTTTGCTGTAAGACAAAGAGTAGCCATATTACTCCATTGTCATCAAGCAGCTTCTAACACAGGGAAAAGTATTAGGATTCTTACCCACTCCCTTACTCACTAGATTAAGCAATTTCAAACAACTTTCCCTTCCCTACAGTTACATTTCGACCCAGAGGCAATTATTTTAATATGAGAGATAAGAGATTCCAAAAGATGACTTCCATGAAGGAACCAAGACGGCGGTCTGAAGATGCCAAGGATTATATGCTTACACAAAGATTGTATATTGAAGGCTATGAAGGAAAAAAGTTTTCTTCTTTAAATTTCCATTTTTTGCGAGCTTAAGCATAAAACGTTGTTGAGACACTGTGTAATGTTTGATCAATAGATAAAACTGAATACATACTCACCTGTCCGATAGAAATCCGTTGAAAGGGTTTCCAATAATGCTACCAATGTACTGTATCATAATAACGAAGCTAACATAATGACCATCACTGCAAACCAGGTTCCACTAAATAAAAAAAAAAAAAAAAATTGTACGTACTATCAGTACAAAAGATTTACGTAATATGTTCAGTTAAATTGTTGAAGCAGCATTCAAGTTTCTAACCCGTTACTGTATGTTAGATTGCCATTCTATTAGACTTTTCCATTTGTTTGCCAGAATGCAAATTTCTAGCTCGAGCGATAGCGACATTCAAATTAGGTAGGAAGACGAAAGTATTTAAAGGAAGTTTTTGGAGGGTGAGCGTGTTCTGCCTGTTTGAAGGCCACGTTGCTAACATTAATTTCCTAGCGATCAATATTCTGCGGCGATGAGTTATTCTCGCGATTAGTCTTGTTTACGCCAGCTTCAGTCAGAACCAGCTTCTGCGCTAGCTATACTGTGAAGTCGTTAGTTTTTCGTTAGTTTTAGTTCATGCATTCTCCTTGATTTAAACCAAAGCTTTTCTGTAAGCGTGAATTGGTGCCGTCTGATAAAGTTTATCGGAATTTTTTAGGGTCCTTTACACACTTTCCTTGTCTCTGTGGTACTTACAAAACATAGTCAAAATTCACCAGTGCTCTTTTATTGTTCCCTAAAATATTCAGTCGCCCTTTAAAAAGGATGTGTATAAGGTATTTCTACCGCCTTCTTAGCGTGCTTTCGTGGTGTAGTGGTCCGCACGCTGGGCGCGTATTCCAGAGATCCGCGGTTGGATTCCCGACGAAGGCGTTGTTCACTTTTCATCTTGCCTGCTTCCAAAAAAATCCTAATGTCTCTACAGTGGCGCTCGAACTAAAAAGGTGCCGGATGATGATTCTCCACACCCAGGATTTGGTGATTTGGTCTCCTAAAAAATCCCAGTCGCCCCTTTAAAGGGGGAGTATATTAGTTATTTCTCCCGCCTTCGTGGTGTGGTGGTCTGCAAGCTGGGCGCGCATTCCAGAGGTCAGTGGTTCGATTGCCGGCGAAGGCGTTCCTCATTTTTCATCTTTCCTGCTGTCAAAAAATCCTAATGTCTCTACAATATTACTGCATTTTTTGTAGAATAACTAATTTAGGTTTACGTAATAAACAGTACAAATCTAAATATAGAAAAACAGTACATTGTATCACGCATTTTGGAATAAAAGTGGTCTGAGAAATAATTTGTTTTCTACCAGTTTTGAAAAATAACAGTTACAAAAATGTGACAGTCAAAAGTCTGTGAAATTCACACATAGTGGTTAAATAAATAAATAATGAAATATATATACTATGAAGATCATGACTTGCTCAACATAATACCTACCAACCATAATACTTCACCATAATACTTCATCTATGTAATCAACCCGTCTCATATAGATACACAATAACAGGCTGTTAATGTATTTCAAAGGAACATTAAAAAAGAGTATAAGATATCAAATCACAGTATCAGTTTGAGAATTTTATACGTTTATTGTGCTGCGGAATTTTCAATGCTAATTCTTTACTATTCATGATATACAAATTTATTTTTATCATCATGCTTTTATTTTAGTTAAAATACTATGTATACTAAAAATAATGACGTTAGGCTGCCCGTTACATTAGTTCCTGAGATTTTTAAATATTCTGTACACTACTGATCAATTTTTTAGTTGGCAAACACTGTTTAAGAATCTCTCCACTTTGATCTGGTAAAGGTGCACCCAAATTTGGCAGTTTATAATTGGCAACACTAGAAGAAATAGAATCGCTTTGATTTGTGAGAAATCTAAATATTTCATTCGGTTTTATTTCCTCTTTATAATTTTCAGAATATCGCTTGTTGCGTTCTTTCCATTTTACAGGTAAAAGCTTTTCATTATCTTCTGTCATTAAATTTTTATTTGATTTTTCTGTTTTTCTCTTGCGCTGTATTCTTAATGCATCTTTATCTTTCGGCTACTTTTCGGCATTTTACACTTATTTTTGTAAAACAAAATCAGTACGTCGCTCTCACAACCGCTCGCCATCGACTTCCAGTATACGAGTGAGACACAAAAAAAGGTGGAGACTAAGTGCGTAGTTTGAAAAAAAGAGTGGAGTTGGTAACAACTGTTTTGGTGACGTCATTCCACACATCTCCTCTATCGAAGCGGCCAGTTTTGACTTAACCGACCGCGCCATTTGGGATTACTGTGTCATTGAGTGAACACGTGTCTGCCAGAAAAAATGTCTAATATAAAACCCGAACAGCGAATCAACATCAAGTTTCTTGTAAGATTTAAGAAATCAGCCACGGAAACATTTCGTGGTTGAAAGAACGGACGCTTATGCCGATGAAACGTTGTCTCCTGCACGTGTGTTTGAATGGCATAAGCGGTTTTCAAGGGTAAGGGACGATGTACGAATGTCAAAATCAAAATTGAAGGCAATGTTAACTGTCTTCTTCGACATTAATGGAATTGTAATGATTGAGGGGGTTCCCAGTGGTCAGACTGTTAATCAACACTACTACACATAAGTATTTACAAAGACTACGTGAAAAAATTAGTTAAAATAGGCCACAGTTGTGGAGTGATGGATGACTGTTGCACCAGGACAATGCGCCCGCTCACACGGCTCTATATGTCAAGCATCTTCTCACCAGCAAAAACATGGCACCTTCTTATGGGCATCCTCCTTATTCACCTGATTTAGCTCCAAAGGAGTTTTTTTATTTCCTAAAGTTTAATCTTTCTGGAAGAGAAGTCATTTTACCTCAGTTGAAAAGGTTCAGGGAAAAACGAAAAATCTCCCGAGGGACTTTCCAAAAACCTCTTTCCAGAACTATTACCAACAATGGCAGTACCGAATGAAGAAGTGTGTGGATGCTGAAGGGGACTGCTTTGAAGGTGATAATGTCATGGAAAACTGATTATGTAGGTATAAGATTTATTGGACCAGTCTCTTTTGTGTGTGTGTGTCACACCTTGTAAAACCGAACGGTGTTATAAACTTACTCGTGTGTGCCCACTTTAACGTCATCAAAGCATTGAGTAATTTTTCCAAACTTTGAGACCGTACTGTTGCTAAACTACAGTTCAATCTTTCAAAGTTTTCTATGTTTTGTAATGGTCTCATTTAGCAATTAAATAAGCCATACACAAAATCGAGCTTTTGTGAAGCTTTTTGATTATCGAGATGCAAGCGTTGTACTGAAACATGTTTTATGACCTATTTTTTTCCCTGAAACCGTCAATGAGGAACGTAGTCCCATGTTAAAAGTTAAAATACTTCCTTTCTAAAATAAAATGACTTCAAACTGTGTAATGTTTAATATATAATTGAGCGTGATCATATCATTACTTTTCTTTAACTTGAATATATAATTTTTTACAGATATAATTTAATACACCATATTAGATATATTTAATATAGAATATGAGCTATATTTAATATAGATATATTTTAATACAAATATACTTTAAACGAGGTGCCAACAGCCATAAAAGGGCAAATAGGAATACAGAGGAATTACGCTGACTAAATGATTAACAATGAAGTGTCCCTCATCGCCAAATTTGTCCGGACAGTAGACTTCTCTTTATATTGTGTCTCTCCGAGCAGTTTCTTCTTGCGTCATGCCTTATTTGAATCTCTTTCCTCGTCGCAATCTAAATTACTACGCCCAAAATACGAAGTGAACTTCGGAGAAAATATTTGAGTTCTAGAAATACAAGTAACTATAATAATACGTCACTGTAAAAAATTCAGGAATAAATTGGGATAGAGGTTATAAGGTATTTCTCCCGCCTTTTTATCATGCCTTCGTGGTGTAGTGGTCAGCACGCTCGACGCGTATTCGAGAGGCCCGTGGTTCGAGTCCTGGCGAAGGCGTTGCTCATTTTAAATCTCTTCTGCTTCGAAATAACCTAATGCCTCTAGAAGATAAAAAGACTTATAGATATAAAATGGGTAGAAATGTGAAACATGTGAAATATGCTTCATGGTGTTTAAAAGGGTAGCTATTAAAGGAAAGTAGTTAGTGATACTCATTGCCGTACTGAAGGACTCGGGTTCAAATTCCGGAGAAGTCATAGTTGTCAGTTGTCTGTTCCTTCATAAGAGACAATGGTGGCTTACCTAATAGGTGTCTCCATAATAAAGTGCCCATCCTCCATAATAATAACCTACATAATAAAATGACCTACCTTAGGACTGGCTAAAGCCTTTAATGGCTAGTGCCCGTCATTGGAAACAAAATCAAAAGGACGAAATATAATCCTGCAGATCAGTATGGCTCTAATTTCACGGCATTAAATGAGACGTGCACGAACTAGACGTATAAATGTAAAATGGGTAGAAAGGAAATACGTGTGGAATATTATTCTAGGGATAGGAACAAATCCCTTCTTGAAAACAAGAAAAGGAAATTTAGAGAAAGTGTAAACATCAACAGTGAGCCGTAGCTGACTTCATTAACATTCAGTACTCGTATGAACATATATAACACAGAATAATAATTAGTTTTAGTGACTGCGGTTTCACTAAAGCATTTCGGAAATCATTCGCTCACTTCGTGAAAGCTTATTACCGGTCAGAACAGGTTTTAACCACAAACGCAGCCAATCTTTTTGGAAAGAAGTTGCTACAAAAGATGAAATCTTCAAAAGGTCAAAAAGGAAAACCTGATTGTAAAACCTTCAAAGATAAGCTTCATGGCTTTTTGAAAGACAATGCAAATTTTGATAGGAAATCAAAACCAATTTAAAAAAAATGCAAAAATCTCATACCAATAATGAAAAATATCCACTTTTATTTACCTATTATTTATTTACTCATTGGTTGTTTGGTTTTTATAGTCAGGGGATTGCTAAGAGAAATTCTTCAGCAAATATGCCGAGATTATTAATTAGTACATGCTTATCACGTACAGTATCTAAAATATATGACGTTCACATTACCAGCAGTAAGATAACTAAATTATTATCGCTTATCTATATAGTGAATCGCTCTCCAAGATTTTTTATATATAATGCGATTTTCATTATTATCCGAGCATATCGTATATTTGTTGTGCAGTGCATATGCGTAAAATGATGATATTTTACTAGAAAATAGAAAATCTGATACATGTAATTATTTAGTTAAGATAACGTATCGAAATCAGCCATTCACCGAAACAAAGGATATTACTTTGGTTTCAATTATTTAGGTTCCGCTAAAGCGAGTGGAGGCTACCCGGTTAAGGAAAGAGGTGCTTTCTTAGAGGATTTTTCAAGGGAAATCGGCTTATAAGTTTCGTTTACACAATAGTTTCCAAAATTACAAATGTTCTAGTCCCGAGCTTCGTTGCTAGGCAACCAGACCTTGCTACATCATAAAAACTGGCCTAAGTGTTTCTAACAACCCCAATCCTCTAAGTTCATAAAACGCAACAATAAGAATATACACTCTCACCCTCATACTATACAGGAGTGCCTTTAGAAAATACACTTAAATATATCCATTCATTGAGACAAGCGTAACTTTTCTCATACCACGAACTATGAACTACTTCATACTGTGCAATGTGTGACAGATGCACCAGTACTACGTACTCAACACTATGTACCATGAAATGAATTCATAAACTGTATGCTGTATTATGAACTGCACTATGAATGATAACTTATAAACTGTGAATAGTGTAACAAAAAACCAAACAAACAACGAACCTCATACCATAAACACCCCCCCCCCACCAACAAAGCTCCAAACCGAAACACAAAAGAAATATGTATATACATCTGTAAATAACTTATTGTAATTATCCATTGTAATTATTGTATCTATCCATTCAACTGCAAAGTACCCGTGTAAAGTATATCTGAGACAATATTGACTGCAATGCAAATTATGCACCATTAATATATGACAGTGTATTGTGAATGCTGCTTGCTGCAATGTAAACCCAAATTCCCGAACATGGTGTTAATGTTGCCAGGTCAGGGTACACTTCTATAGATGGTTAGTGCAGTGGGGCGATACCAGTGTTGCCCATGGCGATGTTTTGGTGCCTCCTGTACTTCTTTCTGTCTGTCTGTCTGCTACTTGATATAAGACCCGACTGATCACAGAGAAGAAAACATCGATCCTGTTTTCTGATTGTCTATAACTTAAATTCTGCTAAACAGGTATGAATGGACCTAATGATGTTTGCGCCTTAATCCTCAAAGCTTTATGATGACAAAACCATCGTCTTCTCGAAGTTATATTCACCTTATTGTGGAATTAACCACGAAAACTCCCATACAGCCATTCCATTTGCCCGGATTTGACCCCAGGTCGAATTGCCAGTTTTCCACAATTTACCACTTGGCTGTTGCTGGGGGCTCTGAGGACATTAAAAGAATCTAAAGATCTTTTATTATTCTGCATTTGTAGAGGTTGAAAAGAGTAAGTGGGGTATACTCGAGAGCAATTCTTCAAAATTTAAATGGATAATTAACTAGGAAAAGTCTTGAGTTCTGGGAGAAAAGATTCCTGCTGTTGAAAAAAATCGTTACTTCGAAAAGAACATAGCTTATACTCCCAGTTTCACAGACAGTGGAAGGCTGACCAAGAGGCCAAGTGAATGAGGCATCTGAAAGCTCGCAGTTAAGTTGATATTAGAGCCCGACGAAAAAGCCGCCCGCATAAAAGTATTACGGTTTTTTCTTACCTGCAATGTGAATACAAATCATTTCCCGCAGAACGTTCTTCATGAAGGCGTCTCTCCCTTTAGACAGATGACCGTTGCCATTTGTTTCATGATTGATTAAAACAAAGCGAACAAAAAATTACACTGGAAAAATGGAAACATGTCCGAAAAATTTCCAAGCATAAGATATTAGCTATAAAGTTGATATCTAAGTCGAAAGTATATTTTGTTCAAAACTGACACATCTGAATTTCGTATCAACAAGGTGAAAGGAAAAAAATGTGTTGAAAGTTGCTTAAATTTTCTAATAACAAGTGTATCGAAACGATGTAATTTTCTGCCTCAGACTAGGTTCGAGTTAACAAAAAGAAAGTGAAGTCCATTGTTTGGAGGACTTATTTCATCAGTAACGAGCGTGCAGACCACCACACCACGAAGGCATGCCAAGAAGACAGGAGAAATACCTTATACATTGAAGTATGTAATCTGAAGAAGTAAGAACTTTACACCATTAAAAATTTTAAAGATTTAGAACATCATAAAACTGAATAAAATATATTATTCAGCAACAATTACGTAACAGCTGTAAGTAAACGTGGTGTTGCAATCACTATTTAGCAGTTACGATAAGCTACAATGTTCCTAAAAACTGTTATGAGTGGGTAATATTTTAATATATACCAATTAGATTAATTACTAAGAAAGTAAAATAATGAATTAAACTGTTAAGAAGTGTACTTATTGATATAAATTGCTCAGTTTCTTAATAAATGACAATTTGAAAGGTAAATAAAAATTCTTATAGTTGCAAAATAGGAATATTCTGAGAATCCATCAGGAACAAAAGCACATAAAATATACTATTAAGTATTTTACGGTTCTGTTAGAGGCAATGTTTGCCAAGTGTTGCTTCCAGATACTTTCTCTGCTTTTCATCCGTCAGTTTTGCAAGTATAGCATAACATATGCAAACTGAAAAGAATACACATTCTGCAGCGATAAAAAAAAATTAAAAGGAGGCCTATTGTGTGTGTATCTGCAATACCCCTTGTTTATACACTAGCATTTAAAACTCAAGCAACATTTTTGATTTTGATCCTAATTTCGGGAAAAATCAACTAGGAAACATGACATTCATACTACAGACGCTCAATATAGTACTTAAAAGGTGAAGAAAGTATAGTAGAAAAAAAAAGAATAGGGTGCATACAGGTATGGATCGAGAAAAGAAAAAGGCTTCATTGACATATAATGGCTTGGTACAAAAACTGTCTGGCCAAGAGAGAAAACAACAAAACAAAAAGCTTTAGTAAAGGATATGAACTCCCCTAACAACAATAGTTGCGTTGCGCCATCTATCTATGCTCAGCATCGGATAATCTAACAGTTCTTGAGCAAAGAAATACCATTCTTCAAGGAACATCTGTTTCAACTGTCTGGTGTTTTCCAGAGGGTACGACTGTGCCACCTGGCGTCTTCTTAAAATATGCCAATCTGTTCAATGGGATATTAATTAGGAGAGCACACTAGCCAATCCATTCCGTGGATATCTTCACTTTTTTGATCCTGCAAGAATACGTGCCCTATGTGGCCGTGCATTGTTAATCATACAAAAAATGTCGGGACCAGTAGTACCACGGAAAAGACGCATGTCTGAAAGGATGTGTTCATCACAGTAACGATCTTAGGGAAAAGAATTTATGTCGAAAATATGAAGTTCGGTCCGTCCTTTCATTATGTCCATTCATTATGTCATTATATCCGATATATATTATCTCATCAACAACTGTTATATTCATTATGTTCATTGTTTTATTATGTCCATAATGTCTCCCCACGCAAGGATCTCAGGACCCCCGGTGTCTTTCTTTGATTTTAAGGGGATGAAAACGTGTCCCCACCTCTATCCATATCAATTGGAAGCGCGAATTGTTTGTCAGACTGGAAACGACTCGGTACAGACGGCGTGATTCCATTCATGAGGTATCCAGTCTTTGCGTTCTCTACATCACTGTAAACTTTGCTGCCGATAGGCTACTTTCAATGATATGCAAGTTGAAGATGGCCGGCGAATAGACCACGTTTATGAAGTCGTCTGACCACAGCAAGCCGGGGCATCTGTTATCCGGTTGCCGTGCGCAACTACTGAAGAACGTTATCCCCTGTTTGATATCGATCTTTTTTCGCCTGCAGGGCGATATCTGGACCATCGTCATCAGTCAACGTTCTTTTCCTTTATCGAACACTGCCAACCTTTCTCGCTTATTGTTAGGATCTGTACTTATCATTTAGAAGGCTTTGGAGGCTCGCGAAATTACACTTTTATCAGTTCCAAACTCTTGAGTGACAGACGTTAAACTACGCCCCTGTTTAAGTTTGCCAATCATTCTAAGAATGTGTATAAACGTCCTTATGTTTCTTTGTAGCCATATTGCACTTACAATCTAACTTTCACTTGCAGAAGAATGCTTGGGAAATGCGTCTTCCTTTCTTCCTTTTAAGTTACCTAGCACTGCGCGCACTGACTCCTCGCGTTGTGTCAGTGTTTGCATCACTTCTTATTTCGACAAGATATAGTGAATGTAATATCTAATAACATTATTTTAATATAATTTAATGCACATCTTAGATGTTAAATCTTACTATCAACATCTATTATCTCTAGAATTCTAATAATTATCTGTAAGAAAACACAAAATGTCTTTGGAAAAGTGTTGCAACTTACCTGACTAGCTGCTGTGTATTCATATTGCGACTTGTCATATTGCCAACCGTGTACACAAGGAAGTGTTTGGGAATTGTTGAAGATCGAGAAAGAAGAACTAGAATTCAGATATTCTGTATAATTTACGTCGTGCATCAAACAAGATGGATCCGTTTGCGGACTAAAAAGTTTCTGTTGTTGTAGACTTAAATTAGATGATGCTATTTCAGGTATAAAACACCAGTGATCAGGAACAGAAAGCATGAAAAATATATTCATCGAAAAGAAAGGAGTTAGGCACAGAGATGGCACGAGCAACAAAAATACTAGGCGTTTCTGATATGGTCCATAACCTCCAACTTCTTTTAGGATGTCTTCAAACTCCATTAGATCTGCATCATCTGGAAGAAATTATAAAAATAAACGATACTTTATGCAGAATTTCTCGTTTCCAAATGCAAATTTGACAAGTAGGTATAAAATTTAATATATTCATTAAATTCCATTTTCGAGATATATTTACATTTAAGTTTTTAATTTTATGCTTATGTCGAAATAACTGAATGTTTGTAGTTTTGTATGCTATAAAATTGCTTTTTAGCTCGTTTATAGCTTTCGAAAACATCAGCAAGCTCGATTCAATCTATTAATAGCAATTACAAGCAAGAACGTTTCAGGTTTAGTCTTTGTATTTATTTTCTCCAGGAATATTTGCTACAGCCAGGGAAGAAAAAATTTTCGGTTAAATTGCATCTAAGCAATTTCCTCATTCCCAAAGCTTGTTTCCTGAAATTCCAGAGGTATTGTATTTCTGAATATACCTAAATCAGCCCGATTTTGAAACAATGTTATTTGTAGCAACATCATAATTCTAGACTTTGTAAAATATGAATTTTTAATAATAGTTTAATAAATCCTTTTTAGGATTACATTATGAAAATGATTTTGAATAAAGTTTAATATTCTGAATATAGTTTGTATATAGTTTAATAAATCGATTTTAGAATTATGTTATGAAAATGATTTTTAGTGACAATAATCTCGTTTTCATTCAGAAAATCTGTATTTAAGAAACGTAAAGCAGATATCTAATTTAAGCGAATTGTTTCAAACATAGCATTCAAAACTGTCAGTTTTAAAGAGGGTAGTAAGTAAATAAAATTAATGAAGTTTTATAAAAATTCTAACTAACTGTAGAAGCAACGAAACCCAAATTCGAATGATTTTACTTGAGACAGGACTGATTCCAAATTTTCTTCCATTCGAATACTAAAAAGTTGTCGAATAGTTCGTAAGAATAAAATGAAGCAAAATAGTTTTTTCATTATATAATAACTATAAAGTTATAGTCATTAGGTTTATTTAGCAGAAGAAAACATGAAAAAATAGCGATGCTGTTAACGAGATTCGGGCTACTCGAACGGGAAAGCGGAGACCTAGTCGTTAAATCCTGGTAGTGACGAATTATCGTCCACAACACTTTATTCGCACGCCACTTTAGAGATATAAGATTATTTTGAAGCCAGGAAACTGAAATGATTATGGTCAAAATGCGGTTACTCTAAAGTGTTATCCGAACTAAAAAAAATGTGGTGATGAAATATCGTCTACCACATTTTAGTTTGGATACCACTTAAGAGATCTCTTATTTTGATGCCATCAAATCTGCGATGCTTTAGCAGGGATTCGAATTCTGATATTCCAGACCGGAGACGTGGGGATCAAGTCACTAAGTCCAGATAGTGACGGGTTATTGTGCCCCATATTTTAGTTCGAAAGCCGCTTTAGAGATATACGATCTGCAATGCCTTGGCGTGGATTCGAATTCCGGACCTCCAGAATCGCTCCCGAATTTATTTTTAATTAAAAACAAATTCAAAAAGACTGTTTAAAAATATTACGGTATTTTCTATGACAATGTCTTTGGAATTTAGTAAATGAAGTGTGCAATTAAAAATTTTGAATTTGATTTATTTTATCTATGTAATTTGACAAAAAAAATATTTGTACATTATCAACTCCCTTACAGTTTCAGGGAACTTTTTGAAAATTAATGCAAGTGTATATAGGAGTATGAGCAGACTTTACATTTCAAGGGTTAAATCAGATAAAGATTGAAAATGAATGCTGAATTCTTTTCAAAAATCCAAAACGGACTGGTATGGAACGAGGTGATATTGGTGACCTAGGCCAAGTAAAACTAAAGTAATCTTTTATTTTTTCAACTCCCGCCAACCTGTATACATAGTAAACAAAGCAATATTTACCGTTCAGAATTAGATAGTGATTTTTGAGTGAATAAGCACGAATTAGAGTCCCCCACAACACGTTTTTTCTATTTTTACAATGATGTTTATCTGTGTGTCTGTATGTGAGTGTGACGATTGTTTCCTTCACGAAAGTTGTTAGACTGAAACATCAAAAATCTTCCTTTTTAATCTTAAGCTTTCTGCATTCATGTAAAGAGTTGATTATATTTTGTGTAACACTGGACAAGCCGGAAGTGGTACATTATTCGAAGTCTATAACAGCTTTTAATAAAACACTATACTAAAATATAACCCCAAATTTTTCCAAAATAACACAAAAGTTTAGTATTTAAGACTTTTTTATTAGCAATGTATTCGATTTTGATTCATATTGATAAATCGGAAGAGATACTTTAACGTTTTGAACAGATTTTCATGGAAAAATGTATTACGGGATAATCCGAAAGTTCTCAAATTTGGCATTTAAAACACAGATTCTGATTGAGAACAACGTATTACATTTACAGATATTAGACATGTAGAGACGTTAGGTATTTTTTGGAAGCAGGAAAGATTAAAAATGAAGAACGCCTTCGCCGGGAATCGAACCACTGACCTCTGGAATAGGCGCCCAGCCAGAAGACCAACACACCACGAAGGCATGCCAAGAAGGCGGGAGAAACAACTTATAACATTACAACATATTATTTATTTATTTTAAATGCATTCTTAGAATTATGCCAAATGTAGTGAGAAAAACTCATTATGAAGATGAACTCTAGTTATGAAGCAATGAAATGTATTAGTTCCATTTCTCAATTTTTGTGTGCATTTGACACTTGTGTCGAATCACTTTGCAAATAAAAGGATGCTGTCACCAAATATTATCAGTATGTATTATTTTGAAAGAAATAATATAGCAAATATAAATGGTAATTTCTGCTTTTAAAAGTTTTGTGACTGTTAAGTTATTGATTCGTGAGTCAGAAATAATAAGTAACCAGACGATATACTACGATCTAAGAATGAGAGGGAGGAGACTAATTTCAGTTTCCAGACGTACAAAACTAGACATTAAGAGATACAACTTAAATACAATTAATGGCTTTCGCAACGTTTCATTCTAGTTGAGAATAGAATAATAAAAAAACGATGTGGCCCCCCCCACATGATTTCCTTCTACGGCCTATTAAATTATATGCATTTTTGCTGAACTTCATTTAAACTGGATTTCCTTGAATTTCACTAGAAATATACTTCTCATTTAACCAATTCATTTCTCATTTCTCACTTTGCGGCAAGGTAAAATCATGTAAAATTTCAGAACATCTCCATTAAAAATTGTAAAATACAGAAGAAAAACGTTGATGTTGATGCACAAACTGACATTTCACTAGACTATTAAGTGCTTCAAATGTAAGCAAATAGTTGCCCCGTTTGGCGACTTGCATTTCAAATTGATGATAATTCTACAACTATTGCATGATGACTAATTATAGGAATAAAATCCTTAACCGAAACATAAGAATAAATTAGTTCAATCAATTTTAAAGGAAAACATCCCCAATTTACTAAAATATAAGAATAAAAGTACTCAGCTCACCGAGCTGGGTATGTATCTATCTATCTCTATATGTATGTAGAGTGAGTATAAGTAGAGTGAGTGTGTTTTGATGTCGTAGAATGCTGAAACGCTGATTCAATAGGAGTAAGAAATTTGGCAGTCAAGGTATATTTAATTTAACTTTTATTTCAGCAAACATGTTGTGGCCACAATCAAGTTGGCCCATTAATTGTGCCTATTCCAAAAAGCTTACATTTTTGATAAAATTATAAATTATAAATTAATTATTTACAGTAAGATAGCAGGAGCAGACAGATATTAGTCCAGCTATGCCAAAGCGTAGAAAGCAAGTGAATTATGTTCAGGGTGAAATCTTAATTCAGATTGAGTTAGTTTTGGGTCTCAATGCATTTTGATTGGATAGTTAATATTGCATTAAAATTACTATTGGCTTTTCGAGATTTCGTTTCATTTACATCATCAGAATTATGTAAGAGTTATATGACACAGATTAATCTCCAAATGAAGCAGGGCAGCGAGATTACTATTTTTAGAACAGAGAAGGAAAACTAATTTTTACGCTGCTCATTTAATCTTTTATATATTCTTTATTTTTCTTAGATATTCCCCCCTTTCAAGGTGAAAAAGGCAATAGCGACAGAGAAGACGTTTTAAATAAAAACGGTTAAAGCACTAGAAAATGTAGGAAAACGTAAAGCATAAGATTTTGATCAGTAATAATTAAATAAATAACTGTAAAGTATAATTTATAAATATCAATTTTTAAAAATTAATTTTTTAGAGTCTCTTTAATTTTTTTCAGAATTTTAGTCCCAAAGCCGTTTTGTTTGAGAGTTCGCATAATCATAGTTTCTTCAGGGAAGTTTCGTGTTATCACTAAATATCACAAATAAAAGTGTTTACATAATCTTTACTTATAATTAAATGTAAGACACAAATATTTATGATACTAATTTCCATATTGATAAATTATATTTTAACACCATAAATAATTTGAATAATATTTTCAGAAATTATGGTTTCAACGTTATTATCTTTCATTTATAATTTCTAATTTTAGCAAACAGAAAGGCCTGGCATTACTTCTAAAGAAAAATATCCATCATTAGGGCTGTCCTCTTGAGCTAACCAATGTGCTCTCTGCACTGGTGGCTCAGATTGCCTAGGCATTTACTTGAAAAAACCTCCGTTTTTTACATAAGGTAACTGGCCTTTGAGAATTGCACTAATACATTCCATAATAAAACACGTATAATAATATAAAAAAATTACATTGAATCATACCCTCGCCGGGACTCAAACCTCGGACCTCTCGAAATACGCCCCGAGCGTGCTGACAATAACACCACGAATGCATGCTAAGAAGACGGGAGAAATACCTTATAACTTCGCACAAGAAAGTTAAAACCGAATAGCTTTTGTAATAAAATTAGAGCTATAGACTTTGTAAACATATTATATTTTATTTAAAAACGATCAACAAATTCCATGTTTTATATAGCAAAGAGTTCTAAGTCAAGAATCACTTGATACTTTATTTAAAATCCGTTACTATTTACAACGTAAAATTGGCAGGAAGTCATGTGCTGGCCATTTCTTTTCTTCTTCGTTCTCTTTTTGATTTTTCACTTTGATTTTCTTTTCTGATTCTCTCTGCTTTAAAATAATGAATGTTTCTATTGGCTTTCACTAAACTTATCTTCACAATGGCTAAATTACAACAATGAGAAGTTTTTTATTTAGGATTCGAGAAATTTAAAAGACGGAAACTTCGAGAAGAGTTGAATTTTATATCTCCATTCTTTTTCAAGATGCATGGGATTCGAGTCTCAGACATCCAGTTTTTAATTCTAATTTTCACTCCTAAATCTAGAACATAGAAAAGATTTAGAGTAGCGATTCTCAACCGGTGGTATGCAAGAGAAAACTAGGTGGTACACAAAAGAAACAAAATATACTTAACGTATATTGGACCGCTCTAAACCATTTCTACCATTTTTATTTAATTAGCCGTCCTATATTTAGGACAGTGGTCCAATATGGGTTAATTATTAAATTCAAAAATCTCATAAAGAAAAAGAACAATTGATAGAAATTTCCTGTGATGGAATAACTGAAGATTTCAAAAATAATACACTGGTTAACTTTATTGCTGAATCGAAAAAAAGAGTTTAAACGCATTTCAAATAAAGCTATTACATTTTTATTTACTTTTTGCACAACCTATTTGTGTGAACAAGGATTTTCTTAGGTGATATATTTGAAAAATAATCTCAGAACAAAATTGAATGTGGATCCTAATTTACGGTTAAAACCCAAGTGAAATAAGACCAGACATGAAAAACTGATCTCTCTTAAACAGGCCTAAATTTCAAACTAATGTTTAGAATATATAAGCTTGGTTATTAAAAATGGTAATAACCATTTTTAATAACCAAGCTTATATATTCTATAAGAAATTATAAGCTTGGTAAATAAAAATGGTAATCAATTTTTATTCTAATGCTTTTATGTGTGCATATTTAATACAAATTACCAATAGATTGTGCAAATGGCAAAACATATTTTTTGTAATATTTCTATTGAGAAAGTGACAAATAATCATTGTAAAATGTAGTGGTGTTACTAAGTTTTTCGATTTTTGTTTAGATGATACTTATTAGTCAAAAGGTTGAGAACTGTTGATTTATAGCATTAAATAACTTTGTGACCCAGGAAAAATAAAAGAAATGCGATTCAAATTCTTCAAACTTTTCCATTTAAGTAAAAGTTCTGTTCTTTTTGTTGAGATAATGATTAAGAATCCTTTATTGAAAAATTATATTATATGATCTAATTTCCAGATATCCATCTATTTAGAAAAAAATTTGAAATTTATTTAACATGTAAATCTAATGCGTTTACATATTTTTATAACTAGTTTTTGTTTGTGTAAGAGCTCTTAAGTCCAAGAAGAACAGATACAGATATTTAGCATTATTGCGAAAAATTCACTCCATGGTTTATTAAGACGAATTTAGCTTTTATGAATGGGAAATAAAAGAAACAGGAAAAGGAAAGGACAAATTGTTGATTTTCATGAATGAACTAACCTTGTGATAAGAAGCACATTTGAAACAAACTCGTATGTTTACCAAAAGCAAAAAAGAGAAGGAAGTGGAAAACCTTCAACCTAGAAAATAGTTGCTTTATGGGTTACTCCTTTGTTTATTAATGAACGAAATGATTCGTTCAATCTATCAAATTCGTGATCCATTTGAAATTCATTGTAATTGCATTAATAATAACTTTCATGTATGCATATTGCAGACAGTGTTGTTGAAGATGCAAAGAAAATGTTAAGAAAAACTATCTAAATATTTTATGAAATATTATTAACTGAGCTAAAAACTTTTTAAAATTTGTTTTTACTTGCTTTACAAGAAAGGTATCTGTAACATTAGATTACAGAAAAAGGAACTAGCACGGAGAAATCGTAACATCAAGAGTGGTATATACTAAAAAATTTTACCCTTTAAAAGATTTGATTTCTTTTATGAATCCAGATGGGAAGAATCAATAACTTTATTCTTGGTTATGAATCCATTTGTGAATAATCAATAACTTTATGCATGGTTATGAATCCAGTTGTGGAGAATCAATAACTTTATGCATAAGAAAGCTATGCTTGAAGTTATGTTTTGTTTCAGTTTCATGTGTTCTGGAATTGATGCACCGGAATCAAAATAAAATTATTACAAAATATTATTATGTTTAGAAAATACGATAATTAACCAACTAACTATATTTCTAACCAACGTATCCTGCAGAAATAACTTGGACATTACATAAATTGACTGCAATTCTAACTATTTCTTCTAAACAGGAACACATCTGGAGAAATGTTTAAGAGCATCATATATTTTTATGATTTCACTTAAGAAAAATTGTAAATAGGTGCCTAATTTTAATTGTTTTTGGTCAAGATTTTATATAAAAATCATTAAAAATGTGCTTAATGCCTTTTTGTTGGATGCAAGCAATTACGAAAAAGTAAGTATAACTGCGACATTTAAAATTATTAGAAATTAGCTGAAATTAAATCATTTACATAATCTGAGTTTATTTTACCAATAGAAATTGATATTTTAATTTTATTATTATTTATTCCTGATATTTATGCACACTAATTTCAGGCAAATTACTCTTTAATGGAAGTATAAATTATATCTTCTCACTATTTTTAAAGCCGAATAGGAAAGTAGCTCGACAGAGTTAATTTTAAAAAACCACTTTCCTTTTTTTAGTAGAATAGAACTTTCTAGTAGAATAAAGAAAGTGTGCGTTAGATCAGTTTTGCACTTATTTAGTTGGCAACTGATAATATGGACAATGAAAGTTAGAAAAATAGCTAATATGGGGGGGATTTCGCACAGATGTTTAAATTTCCGTTAAGCTTATTTATTAGATATTAAAAATATAAGAAAGATTTTTACATCTTAATTAGATGATGCTTTTTACAATTTTGATACCATCATTAACTAGGATCTGTTGGAAATAGTTTTAATCAAAAAATATCTTCATCAGTAAAATCGCTTACTACTGTTTAAGTTTACAGAATGCAACCATAAAAGATCTTAATGAACGAAGAACATTTGAAACTAAGAGTGTTCCCAAATCTATGAAGAGATGAACCGATTCAGTTGAACGTAATGTGACTATAATATGATGCATAAACTGAAGAATATCCTCATTAATAAAACTTCTGTAGCTACTTAAAGTATAATTATTAAATGGCTTTTAAGGATTTTTGTCATCAAAGACTATATGCAAATTCTTAAATCAAATCCGAAATCAAAAGACTAATGTGTCATCGATGCGACGCAATCTTCATAAGCATTCGCGAAGAAGTATCAGACTTTAGATTTGTATGTAACACACATTTTACTGCATTATATTTGAATAAATACACGAAATCAAGTACGAAATATCAAGCACGAAATAAATACATCAAAATTTTAAAAAATATTTTAATAAAATATTTCTGTAATATTAATTTATCAGAAGTTCCTGAAAATCGTTCTACATTTGAATTTACCTGGCGGAGTGGAGGGGGATGACCGGCCACGAAAGGTACTTGTTCTGATTATGCCTATAGAAATGATGCTTATATGTTGCTGACTGATTAGTGTTGTGCACTATGCATACAATTTTTCCTATATCAATATATGTCGAAGAAGTAATTAGTGATATGTTTCTGTATAGGTATTTACTGGAGTAAAGAGACCATTACTGATTTAAAATCGTATTCTTTTGCAATTATTTTGTAAGAAAAGTAAACATTTTTTACAGAAAAAAGATCGGTAAGTAAGTATGTATTTAAAACTTAGCAGGCGTTCCTTTATTTTGTTTTTGTAAAATACGAATAAAACATAAATAATTAAATTTAAAAAAATCTGAAAGGTTTCAGATTTTAAATTATGTCCAAAGGGCGTTTTTTTAACGTTTTGTGTGTTACCTATATTTATTAAATACCATGTTCTATGTACTCAAACCATACAATTCAGTTCAACAGCAATATCCCAAAATAATTTTAAAATGAGCATATCTTTAGAATTTCCGATACAGAGTCTATCACGCTGGAGATAAGAATGTTTTTCTTTTGTTGCTATTGCTGGCTTTAAATCGTTTAGATTTTTAATCAAAAATTCGTTGAAGTGTTACAAAATATGAAATCAATAATAAAACAAATTTCAAATACAAATGCCCATACTCCACATGCCCATATTTTATAGAAGATTACTTCAAATTTCGATGGCTCTAGATACCATTGTTTTATCACAATGCGAGAAACATACATACACTCATGCAGATTCTTCCTTATTTAATTTCTTGAAATATAATACAGGGCGATAATATCGGGTGGCAACAATTTGAAACGTGATTCGCCGTTTATAGTTTTCAACGCAAAATACCAAAACGAAATTAATAGTCCTTCGGGGCATATTGTCCCTTTGGACTAAAAGAACGTGTCATATTGTAAATTTTATAGTTTTGGAAAAGTTACCGAAACAACGCAATAGCAGTTGTGCATATATGATTTATTTCAGATTCTAATAGAACTAATAACTTTGAAAAAAAAAGATTACTTCGAAGAATTTTCTTTTTTAATGCCTTTAAAATACTTTACGAAATTATACTATAATTTTTCTAAATATTGTTATAAATAACACGCAAGCGAAATGAATAATTAATACAGCTCATAAAGCATAATAATGTTAAACACTGATTTAATATATTCTAAATTTTAAATTAACGTTTTATGAAATACGAAGAGTGAAAACAAAATTAATACTGACCTGCCATTATGAGGAATATATGTAACAACAATTATACGGGCAATTTTACGAATGAGAAACTTCATTCAGAAAACACACATGGCACTTCACAATAACCTGTTGATCGAACTCTCTCTAGCTGCTAACTCTTTACATTCAGTTACCAGCAAGTTAATAAATATTAAAGGAATAAATTGCCCTTGAAAGTCTGATTTCTTAATGGAGTAAAGAAACTCCTCCTTTTAGCTGAGCAATTATTAACGTAAAAGCGATATATGTCAAGGACTACACAAGAAGTTATTGATAAATAACGTCATGATTCCTATTTAAGAAACGCTACACCTTAAAAATAATAGTCTCCCCTGTAAGAAAATTCAAAACGAGAAACCTGATTTTTCTCGTTTTACTCGTATAGGGTATTACATAATACGTTTACAAAGAAATTTAGCTTAGAGACATTTCCTAATCGTACGAGCTCAAAAAGTGTTTTCACGTCCGTTTTTTCATTAATATAGGTAAAAAATATTTTTGCACTATAGACATACAGTCCTACATTGCTTTATCTTTTTAGAACTATAGACCGATTTATTTATTAATTTTAATATAGTGCATTCTTTTGAAGATTTCTAATAATGTTAATTCTATGAAGAAACTGAAATGAAAATTGTTCATCTGAAATTTAAATGTTCCTAAAAATAAAACTCACGATAAAATGAGTGATGTTATCATCTCAGTGATTTAATGATGATTAGGGTTTCAGAAGACGTGGTGACAAAGGATATAGAGGTATGTCGAAATACACTAAACACACAACTATTTTCTTTTGTACGTCATTTGAAAACGATTTTTTTTTTAAAGATGATAAGACAAAAATTTTAATATTAGTAAATATTTACTTACCCATATTAAGAATGACAACATTCTTGTGTTAATATAATGGTAAAAAGGAATATATTCCAATTTCGTAACATTATGACAAGCAAGGTGGTGTTGGTGTATTTAATTATGGCAAAGCATACGAGGGCTATCTGCCTAAGGGGAGAGATGCCTTCGTGGAGAACTTTCTAAGGGGAACTGTCTCGTATACACGTTTACACATGGGGAAAACCACGAAAAAACACATGCAGCCAGCCCGTTCGCGGGAATCGAACCTCAGACCGAACTACCAGTGTTCAGCGACTTTACCGCTCGGCAGCTATACGACAAGCTAGAATTAACATTACTTGTTCCAGAATCTTCTGGTGTAACTACAGAAAGGTTTGCGGTGATGTTCCTCCAGGTGATTAATTGAGGAATTTCGAATAAAATTTTCATTAGCTAGAAAGACTATAGGGAAACAAAGAGGCTTCTCCTCAAAAGCCTGCCAATTGTCTATGTAAGTTATTAGAGATTCTGTAGATGGAACGAGCACAACTAAGAGATGCTTCGTTTAAAGCCAAAAAACATGAACTTATATTCACGAGTTATTGTGAAAGAGAATGGCGTCGAATATTTTACAAAATATTATAATGTTAGCAAATATTTGTTACTATGAACTGACGTATTCTTCTTAGGATCATTCAATTTTTTATAATTCGTTATCAATAATTATTCGACGAATCATTAGAAGTGTCAATTGAAATTCAACGATCCAAGGAAAAATGTGTGGATTCATTACAAAAAATTATCATTAACAATATTTGCAGAAATCAGTACTACAGCATTTATTCATGAAAACAGAATGTGTTGCATGTAAAGGAGGACAATACCTAACGTTGTGTAAAGGAGTGAAATACCCAATGGACAATACCAAAGTATTAACTAAAAAAAATGTTCAAAAAGATTGGTAATATGGGGGGTGAACAGAGTTCCAGTTATTGATGTGTTAAGGAACAGATTTTAATGACATTATCTTTTTTATTTAGTTGTTTTCCCATAATTTGATTATGTTTGTTTGATTGCTGAAAGGAGCAAGAACGAGTAAAATTCAGAGAATGACAGGAATGTATTTGCTGATAAATGTCATACCACACAACAGCTTCCTGCTGCTTCTTTGATGAGACTGTATTTTTATGCTCATCCATTAATGGGGCTTGAATGGTGCAAATTCTTTGTTAATTTCCTCTTTGATCATGTAATGTGACACCTTCTCTCCCTAGCACACCAATTACTTATTTAATATTTGTTGCATGCTCGCAACAGCTTCTTTAGCAAACGGTGTTATTGACTGCCTTATATATTTCTTGGTAATTTTTTACTCATTTCGTCTTATAATTCTTCTGGCAATTTAAATCTGCCCTATTAAAACGAAAATCTTCAAGCGCAAGAAATATGTCAAGTAATATTCGAAGAAAATACGTGATGCAAAATGTGCAAGAAATAGTAACGCATAGACATCCTGAAATATGTGCATCAGTTTCATGCACCTTAATGACATTTGAATAGTTATAAAATCATATTAATCCAGAATTCATGAAGAAAGAGAACTTATAATAAATCCAAATCAGATCCTTTAGGATTTGTGTTAACATATCCTTAAGGAATATTTTATGCTTTCTGCTTGCGTATACGATATCTGTTACGTAGAACCAGGAAATAAGTAGTCGACAGGCACAAGATTACAAATAACCACATTTATTTGACGGCACAATACACAGAATACTGGAAAAAACTGACAGAACATTGAACAGAATAAACAGCTAGTACGTATAGACTAACCCAAACAGGTTTTCTCCCTCGTTGATGCGTTGCCGGCTGTCACCTTGATCACATACGGAGGAGTAGGGACGACTTGCAGAAATTTAACATTGGTTGTCTATTGCAGCGTATATAATTGTCAAGAAAAAGCTGGTTGTAGCGCCTCATTTCACAACTTAGAATTTCTACATATTTTTATTTTTGAAACTGAGATTGATTTTTAAAAATTCTAGCATATTTATCAACCATAATTAACGTTCCAAATAATTATAAGGCTATTGCATGCTTCAGGGCTGGGATATTTTTTTAGCTTTTCCTATGCTGTAAGGAAATTTGTAACTACTTCTTTTAGAAAGTAATATTTTAAATCGAACTAATAGAAAATTTCAAACAAGCAATTTTCTCTTGCAATTTTTATGCTTTTATTGATGTAAATAAGTAAAAAAATACTAAAATATTTAAAAAAACGAATTTTTGAAAGTTTGTTTAAAAATTCTAAATTGTGCTGCTTTTTTAAAATTATAGATGAGTATTATAGCACAATTTCTATAAAGGAAATTTTATTTCAATTATATTTCATAATACATCATAGTGATAAACACTTTTGACTCCTTAAAAATTTGTATACATTTGATTCTAATATTAAAATTGTATTTAACCGTAATAATTAATTTTGCTTGTATCTTATAGTGTTTATTTTTTAAATTTATTTTTAGTTGTGCATAAGATTTTTTTATTTACTGTTACTTTAATTTATTAGCCCAAAGGGGCGATAGCCTAGAAAGGCTGTTAGCTTCGAAACGGCATTTTGCGCTGTTTTACTATAAATGTCAGTGTCTCATTACAAATTGTTGTTACCAAATATTATCGCCCTATATTATATGTAAAGAAATTAAATAATGAATAATCTGTATGAATACATGTATGTTTCTTGCACTGTGACAAAAACGACAGTATCTAGAGTCATCAAATTTTGATTAATGTAATCCTGCACCCGAACATGGGCATCTGGACGGCCGAATTTCGAATTTGTTTTTATCTATTTCATATTTTGTAAAACTTTAACGAATTTTTGATTAACAAACTCAACGAGTTCAGAGCGAGCACTGTACGGAAAATAACAGTTTTATCTCCAGTGCAAGGAAATTCTAAAGATATGCTGTTTTTCAAATGTATGTGGTTTACGGGCGAAGAACATGATATTCAATAAATATAGGTAATACCAAAACTTTAAAAAAAGTTCCTTTTGGGGTAGTGCTTCTAGATTTTATTTATCTTTTCCCCCCCCTTCATTACGCTCAGAAAATTTTATGCTCCGAATTTTATGAATTATTAAAATAACTAATCCACTTTAATGTTAATAATTTAATGATCATATAATCAAATAAACAGTATCGTTTTGTTATGTTATTATAGTTTTGAAAATCATTGCCTGAAAATGGTCATTAAATTTAAAAAAATCATCAGATCTTGTTTAATTTTACCTTATTTATTTCAAAGCATCACATACTATCAATCTTTTTTAATTTTACTTTATTTTTACGCAAAATTAAGTTCATAAATTTTGTGTTTACCGTTTTACCAAAGTAAAGATGTTTGTACAAGAAATTACGCGTGAAACAAATGCGCGAAACGCAGTAAAAAGTGCTTTAATGAGATATATTAAATCCTATTTGGAAAAAACTGTGGCTTTCATAATCTCATCACTATACAGCGTATCACATTTAATAATTAAAAAGAGTTATGTGATACAAACGCCATGGGTTTCAGTGTTAACAAACCAATCGTCCCTACTCTTTCTTGCCGACATGTCGGTGACGCGCGCCCCGCCCACTGGATTAGTCTATCTCTTATAAGGTCCATGCACAAGGTTGGCTCAACTTGACATCTTAAGGACGCCAACTAGCGATTATATTTTAGATTTATATAATGATAATTCCTCATTTTTTCAAAGCAGATTTTAATTTACTAACCTGTCCATTACATAATATCTATTCTTTTTTAATTTTCGAAATACCACTCTCTTTTTTTAACTATTTGAAGCTTTTTATAACAACATTCAGCATCAAATTCCGAAAATGCTCGAATATGTTACAAAAGCATGTATAGAAAATGCCTAATTTAATTGATATTAATATAGAAAATGCCTAATTTAATAGATTGATATTTCCGTTTCGACATTATGCAAAGTGTGGTAGAAAGATACTATTCAAGCTGGTGTCTGAGTTACTCCAGACAAAGCGTATTCTACCTTTCGATTACGTTGGTTTTATAAGTATTTAAACCTTTTTTTGTCCTTTTTAACCTTTTATTTCATATTAAAATAAACTGCAATTTAGTATCAAATTTTACTTCTATCTTAATTATGAGCGAAATCTTTATAATGAGTAGGACATGCTCCATATTATAGCAAACACGACAAGTATTTAAATGGACATTATGAAGGATTTGTCATATATTCCATAATATGGGACATGCACTACTTTATATAATGGTACTT